AAAAAAATTTTTTAATGAATATTGAAATGCACGTATAAAATTTCTAAAATAAAAAGAATCTCAAAAAGGATTATAAAGTAATAAAGTCTTATCATTCCCAAGCAATTCCTCAAATAATTCAAATGATCAAGTTAAGGAGCAACAAGATAGCGAAACAGAAGATAAAGAGACAAAGGGAACACACATCATGTGTCCATTCCAGGCCAGAGAGAGGCATCTCCAGCACACGGTTAGCCTAGATATTTATCACCAACACATCGACAGAAGTACACACTGTGTGTAGAGTGACACTAGGATAGTCAATGTAAATCTTCCTCACCACACTCAGCGGGCCACGCTCTACAGTTCTTTCTAAGCCAACAGCTGAGCACACACACAGCACCTGCTGTATGACATCACTGGCACTGGGTTTTCTCACTTCTCTACGAAAAACTCATCTTTGACATTTCCATTGAATCTTTTCATTTCTCTTAAAAAAAAACTGATCTCTGAAATTTCAAAAGCACCATATTACCTTTTTAGAAATTGTTGAAGATCATAATACTTTCTGAAGCAAAAATTTTGGAAGACAGAGGAGAAGGAAAGACAAAACTCTAAGGTAAAATATGTGAGGCATTGCGGTGAAATCAGGCACTTGTCAATATAATGACATCAAAGATATCGCCATTTTTCTGACAGTGTGACAAATTTTTTCAATTTTTGATCACATTTTTTGTGTGGATTTTACTGACAAACATTGATTCAAGACACGGCAAAAGTAAATTTCCCGTTTTCATGGACTCTCAAGCTTTGGAAATCCACAAACTTTGGTAACCATTTTATCGATAATTTAACCTCAGAAACCGGGCGACTCCCACATCCTTCAATCGCAAATATCTCGACTTCTATCAAGAGATATCTGTATTTTTTTGTTGGAAAAACAGTTTTAAACAAACAAGCTTAAAGATCATTATATTAGTTACTCCACATGCCCAAAAATTGACTAGCCCCTTATTCTACCGCTACGTGACACATATGGCTTTTTACACAAGTTTGGTATCATATGGCACAGTATGGGAGTTGCAGTAGCAGCGAAAAATTCAAAATGGAGGGCTTTTTATACAATCCCTTTAAAAGCTTAGAGGTACTTTTTCAATTAAAATTTAAGGGTTACCATTAGGATCTGCATCTCAACTTTTATCATCATTGTTTTCGTTAAGTTATATGCTTTGGGCTTAACATGAATCCTAAATGATCCAAAACCCTCCAAAATCTTAATAATAGTTAAACTGTGTGAGTATACAAAGTAACAAAGTCTTTCTTCAACCAACTACCTTTTCTTATTTATTCTAATGTAAATAACTTTGAAAGCACTAAAAATAGAAAGGGAGTAAGAACAAAATGCACTCATAATTCTATGGAACACGAGTGTTACAATAATAACTAGTAATAATTTTGGACTCAAAGAGAATATTTTTCATCAGCCTTGTCCACTGAGACAAAATGTCCCAAAAGCAAACTGGAAAATTAACTAGTACGTACAAGAAGAGAGTACACAGCTGTCACTACTCTACACAATCAGTAGGCCTACCCTGTAACAAAATTATTTAAAAATTAGGCAAGTTTTTACTTTCCCTCCTGCTTACGGATGCACTGGTTTTGGGGTCAAAGGGCAGGGATTTTTTTGGCTGCAATATACACATTAAAGGCCTACAGCCACTAAAACTTTAACTACTACTTATTTTTTCAAGAAAAAAATTTCAGAGATATTTTTGGCTGCAATATACACATTAAAGGCCTATAGCCACTAAAATTTAACTACTACTTATTTTTTCAAGAAAAAAATTTCCAGTCCTTTTAAAATTTCAAAACGTCAAATTATGGTCCAAAGTGTGGAAATGACAAGCAAATAGGCTTGGTTAGAACAAACCAACATGATACACAGTCAAACCAGCCCTGATGGCCACCTCTCTAAGACGGCCACCTGTACAAACGGCCACTTTCCTTTCCCTCCCTTGCGTTGTTGCTATATAATTTAACTGTGTAAAAAGGACACCTGTCCAACGCGGCCGCGGCCACCATATTTCAACACACAACCCCTATCACACTAAGCAATAACACCTGTCTTAGACGGCCACCTTAGTGATTCCATTACGTTTTGTCTTAGATTGTGCATTGGCCCCTGGCGTTGTGGGCGAATTGTCATAATTCAATCACCTGTCATTATTGTTAGGTAATCCCTCCTACTGATCATGTTGCGTAGGCCCCTCCCACTGTTGACCAATAGCTACCAATTTTCAGCTGCTGGTGAGGTAAGCATGTGATCCCTTATAGCCAATTAGCCCCGCCCAGAACAGATACACAAATCGTAAGTGAGATGAGTGGTCACTGTTTACCCAGTCTGTAAAAAAGTAACAAAGGACGTCAACATGAACTTGTGACAGAAACGTCGCTCGTTCTCCGAGTGGTGGCGACCTATGTGTTTGTTTTAACATGACACTCGGTCTTCCTCGTCTGATGCATTTTTTAAATTGTCACCCTTGTGCAAAATCAGCAACAAAATAAAAATTACAAACAAAATACAAACCATCACCACAACCAACAATAACAACAAAAACAACAACAATGCGGCTATTTTCGATTGGGACTCAGATGGGAATGGTTTGTTTTCTTCATCTTGATCAGTCCTGCCTAAGACGGCCACCTGTCTTATACCGCCACTTTTCTCCTTGACAATGGGTGGCCGTCTTACACAGGTTTGACTGTAGTTCACAAATGGGACAAAACAGGTTACTGCCCGGAAGTTCTCGCAAGATCTACTCCTCCCCTCTCTCTCTGTCTCTTTCTGAATACTGTCTATCGGTGTGGACGATCAAATTGACCAAAACAAAGTTAAAAAATGATGTTAAAACACAAATGTAAATTAATTTGGTTGTCTACAAAGATGCTACGGCTATTTAACTTTTCGAATCGAGCCGAACTACGCTGGTCGCCATTTTGTTTTGACCGGAAGTTCTCGCGCTACTCCTCTCTCTTTCTCTCTCTCTCTCTCCACTGCCCACAGACAAAATTGTACCCTTTTAGTAGGCTACAGTTGTAATGGAACGTTTGTTCACGGCACAGAGTCTACAATTTTTCTGTTATCACAGTGTAGAATTCTGTGGTTTATGGTGAACGCAAAATTTGTTGGCCTAGATACATAACGGTGAACGCGCACCGGGTGAGAATAGCCAAAAGACTCGCCTGCACATAGAGGTGGCCTTTGGTAATACCAAAACTAAAACAATCAAAACCTAGATCTAGATCTAGGAGGACTTCCGTAAGGAGCGAACACTATGAGACTGAGTAGAATAGCATAGAGTGGTAGGGGTAGGGTTTAGGGTTCTCTCTGTCTCTTCTTTATTTATTGTGTTTGTTGGGTTGGTCGCTCGTTATGGAAGTCCTTCCAAAACCTGGGCCATTATTAGGTCTTATTATAATAATGTCCTTTTCATTCAGGCCTAGATAGATCTAGATCTAGATATATCTAGATTCCTAGACTTGCAGTTGGAAGGCAAACTCACCAACATGTTTACGGGCGATGGCTGCAATGCTCTTCTCGTCAAATAAGTACGATTTTTGATTGAGCCAGTACCTTATACCAAATACAAGTATAACACCTAGCACAGAAAATGTAACAAGTGTCCGTAACCGAGGAAGTAGTCCCATACTGTTAGTGGTGTGTTTATGTATTTCAAAAACAGCCTGAACAGCAATGATCTTCACAATCAGAAGGCCCCTCGACGACAGTCGCCCTGGCCGACAAAAGGCTAGCAGTCAGTTCACACTCAGCAGCACTAGGCCTACACAGACTTCCTGCCTTCCTGCTTTCCTTCTACTTTCGACTTCATTCACTCACTGACTGACTCACTGCCACCACTTGCCAGGTTCCACCAAGCTGATCTCTCTCGGATAGAATGAAAAAAAAAATCCCCCAAAATATGAGAGTGAAAGGCAAAAAAATCTCATTAGCCTAGGCTCCACCATTGTATACAGGCAAAACTGTATCTAATCTTGAAGGATTAAATGTTCAAATACATGCAAGTACTAATGACTTCCAAAAAGAAACAATTAATACCGACAGCTTGTCCTAACAATAATGCCTGAAAAGTGCGTACATGTACTTTGGTATGTTTCCAACAGAAGTGACAGTCTTATTTGGTGGTAGTGGAGAAAGGGTGGCGCCACAGCACATAAGAGGATCGTAAGTATAAAAAGACGTTTTTAAAATGCAAAACGGAGAACGGCCGATAACATTAGAATTTAGAATGAATTTTGAACGAATGAAATGGGCCAAAAGGGCAACATTGTCTGATGCTCCGATTCGGAATTCGGCTATAGACAGTTCAACTGATCAAACTCTCTGGTTCAGGGTTTCCTCAATTCGAACAAGATCGAGGAATTCGAATGTATATACTTCGTTGGAGTATAATTTCCTGAAATCAATCACACACAATGACTTCCCTTCACCTATTTAAACAAATTTGCCTTTCTGATCTACCTTAGGTGATAAATCTATGGCATTGAAAAACCTTTTTTTGTCAGAATCAAAATACCATCTCAATTACTGAGGCAAACTTTTTTTTGACGATTTATAGTCATTTAATTATAGATCCTTAGCTCTTCTTTCACTTAAAAGACAGTACTTTCAATAAAGCCTGGGTACAAAGGAAATGCCCAAAAGACTAGCAGAAAGCCATTATAGTGGTCCCATCATGGAAAAAAGAAAGGGAATAAATGAGACTGTAATGTACAGAGGCATCTTTTCGTGTAAATTAGCCCCACAGGAAAAGCACACGTGAAAAAAAGTAGAACTAAGGGAAAACTGAGCAGTTTGGATGCAATGAAGCTGCATTCACTTTACGACAACTGCGAAAAAAACAGTGAGCACAATAGGAATCCAACATCATTTTCATAAACCAGTAGAAGGTTTTTGACAGAGTAATTCACCATGTCAAACTGTGGAAGACATTTGAAATGCACGGCATCAGCGGGGACATCTGTTAGACAACATTAGGGCTCTGTATACCAGCAGTAATAGAAATTATGTAAGAACAATGGAAGGCAACACAGACTGGATCAACTTAAGATCTGGAGTACGACAGCTAAGCATTTTATTTACCCTACTTTTTATGATATATGTAGAGATACAATAACACAAGACACAGACCAGAGCCCAGAAAGCCTGAATGAGCTTCTGTTTGCAGACAACCAATGTCTTTTTCATCCAAACCAACAAAGCCTCCAAAATCACACCACGAAACTGAACAACAACTGTGAGAAATTTGACATGAGAATAAGCACACATAAAACAGAAGGTATGAAGCAGAAACCATAGTCCCCTGAACAAAAAAAAACCCGGGTCTATAGACAGAGAAATAGAGACACAAAATGAAAAAGCCAACACTGTTTCATCAGCTTGCACCCCTTCCATCTCTCACACACATCTCATGGACACAAAAAGACAGCTTATCATTTCAATATATATGGCTATCTACCAGTGCTAGACCTGGACATTAAGTAAAACTAATAAAAGCAAAATCACTTCATGTGAAATGAAATGCTTCCGTAAAACCATAACATGACAAGAAAAGACAGGCAGAGAAATGTGGGTAGGGGCAAGTACATCAGGATTATATCTTGCTTGCATTTCATTGAAAAACAGAGAATAAAAAGGTTTGGCCACTTGTTACGTATCCCCTAGCCAGCCACAGTGGCAATTCCTATTACACCAAATACTCAGGATATAAAGGAAGAAGAAGGCCACGAAAAAAGATGGATTGAGGGAGTCAAGGGAAGCCTGAGAATGAGTTACCCCAGCTGAAAAAAGCTTAGTAGAGCTGGATTGCCATTTTTAAAAAAACCTGCAAATGCACTTGACGATTAACAGTAATAGAGGACGAAAATATAAGTAAAGTAAGTAAAGAAAGTAATATCCTCCTCAGCAGATACATTGTCATCGTCTGGCGGCATAAATAGACGAACGTAAAGTTTATTATTACATTAACCTCTTAAACGATCACTTGGTGGTGCCCATATTCGAAGCATTCGAGTAACTCTTGTGGACTCGAATAGGGAAAACCCGTCTTTTTTCAGAATATGTACCAACTTATTTTTTCCCCTCTCTTCTCTAGTTTCGGTTTTATTTTGGTATTGCTGTTTTAGTTTTATGACGAAATGACGACGTGCTGCGTCTTCATGCTTTTCGAAGGAACACCAATTCATCTATTTTAAGAGCCCATGATCTCTTTAGCTTGATACCGTTCGTCTCCAACAAATGATACACCATGGCTTTGCTTCATAATAATTATATTAGTGAAAAGTGAAAAGGTTCACACTGAATTGATTTCATAACTTCCCTCCGTTCAGAAAAGTCAAAAGAAGACATTGCCAGTGTGGAGTTATCATTTCATCATATTCCCATCGAGATGATATAAAAAAAAAAAACTCAAACAAATTAGAGAAAAGGTAAAAATATTGAGTTTATATTATGTAAGGTCCTTGGGTAGAGATTACATTTAGCCCCTCCATCGTGCGGTGCTACCCAAGTGTGCTACATAACAATAGAAAGAATGGGGAAAGCCAGAAAAAGGGCATAAAAGTTAGTAGATCTCACAGAAATCTACACTTAGTGTGGAATTCTGTGGTAGATCTATAAAAGCTCGTTTTTGTAAGAAACACTAATTTTGACGTTTTATAAGTATTTAAAGAACAAAGAGTGAAATGGTGAGAACTTTTTTCTTTTGCCTTTTGCAGCATTCTATCTCCAAGTACATTTACACTGCACCAAATATCCTACACTAGGCTAGTGTAAGATATTTGACTGCACCACATATACATTCTGTTATTATTTTACTTTTTTTAGTGTACATCTATGTTGCACTACTGCACTCAATAAATCCTGGCAAGTTTTACTAGTTCGATACTTAAATTTCAGTGTATCGCGATTTCCCAAGACGAACGCTTATTTCCATTATGAAGAGGGTTTCGAGAACTGGGGAAGGGGAGGGGGGTAAAATTGGAAAGGGGAATAAAGTGGATAGATATATGGACACGCTGTAAAGCTATGAAAAAAAAAATTATTTTTCCCTTTTGTTGATGAGAATTGGCATTTCCTGTTTCTCCTTACCCCATGTAATTGCAACCCCTCCTAAGCTCGTCGAATCCGCTTTCAGTCTATTCTTCATAATGATTTATAACAGCTCCTTCTCCTAGGGCTACAATCCAGCCTTCGTGTATACAGAAAAGAACATCGGCCGTTTTATTTTCATTTTCATAACAAAGGTTTGTTGTTGTTAAAAAACTGACAGTGTTGTGGCACTACAACATCTAGACTCTAGATCTAGTCTTCAAAATAACTGATAATTAAATTAGACCTCGCAATATTTCATGCATTTGCTAGAAAACATATCACAAATGCAGTTATTTTTCTCTAGTGTAAGAAAACTATTATTATATACACTCGTGCTGAAAAATATACAACTAGTATCGATAGCGCATATTTGTCAGGGTATTGAGCATGTGTTTGTGTTCGATGTATTGACATAACAATACCGATACCGCTCTTCTGTACATGTGCCCTTTCCACGAACTTTTCTGTTGTTTACAGCTCAAGTCCTCAGCGACGTCGGCTCCACCAGCAACAGGTTCAGTCATTTCGAAAATAACTGAACAGCTCTAAATTTTTCATAAGTTAACTAGGCCAAGACATTTCTGCCCTAATCGATTTCAAAACCAAATGCAACACTTAAAAATCGTATTCTTGGGCTTGGTGCACTGCACTGCTACTTTTCTTTTGGTCTCTAAAATCTAGTGTAGCCTCGACTCTGCTATAAATTCAGTATAAAAATGTCGATTTAGCAAGCAAGAGCAAATAAAATAAATATAGATTCTAGATCTATAAATATATCTTCCTTCCAAGGAGTACGCTACAAGTCCAAGTTCTGAGGCCTAGATTTTTTATTATATGGAGGACTTCCGTAACGAGCGACCACTATGAAACAGAGTAGAATAGAGGGTGATCTTATACTTTAGCTTTAGCACGTTAAATTCTTCAATTGATTTTATTCCCTTTTCCGTAACGAGCGACCACTGTAAAACAAGATCTATCTAATCTAGATTTTATACTCAATGGCTTCCAAAATCATGATGGAAGACCGAAAACCACTGTTATACCATCTGTTCATGACAAAATTACGGTAGTTTGCTCATTTTTAGGCCCAGTTCAAAGTTTTGAAGGTCTGAGTCGGGAATTTAACGTGCTAAAGTATAAGATCACCGAATAGAGGAGTAGGGTTCGATCTAGATTCTAGATCTCTTCTATTTTGTATTTGTTGGGGTGATCACTCGTTACGGAAGTCCTTCCTTATTATAGTTGGCTAGAGTCTATTTAGACTAGATCTAGAGATCTAGATCTAGATTCTATGCTAGATGTTGCTATAGAGAGATACAGGAAAATAGGGCTGGGGCCTAAACTAAACTAAACAGTGTGAGTGTTCTCAGAATACTCCACATAAATCTTGATATAGATCTAGATCTAGATCTATTATTCTCACCCTGTTTTTTCTTTTCCACCCTTTTTATTTCATTTACGTTTTGATTCATGTGATGTTGCTTTTTTGCCCACTCCCCAATTACTATTATTCGCTGGTATTAGCCCAAAGAGTAGGGAGGTTTCAAGCTCCCCTGACCTATTAAAAATATGGAAATTTTATTCTTTGATGTTTTGCAGTTAGGTTTGATATCTCTCGCTTGCTGTGCATCAAACATAGCCTGACTATAGTAGATCTAGATCTAGTTCCAAATATTTAGCGGTGTGGGAACTACCGAAAAAGCGCCAAATCTTGGGATTCTCAAGCTGATTTTGCCAAAATGGCCGCCCTCTGAACCGGGACATCACTACTCAACTCAACCAGGACTGTTCCTAAGTTAGGCTGCACAGTTTTAGATCTGAGTGGAAGAACTTTATCCCCACCCTCTAAATATGTATAATATCTTAGACGGCCACCTAAGTGACTCCGGTACATTTTGCCATATGCATTGGCCCCTGGTGTTCTGGGCGAGCCGTCATAATCCAACCACCTGTCGTTATTGTTAGGTATCTCTCCAACCAATCTTGTTGTGTAGGCCCCTCCCACTGTTGAGTTATCATCATCATCATCATCCAGTGCCAGATTTGCGACAGACATCAGGGATCATGGTTTTCCTTTCATTCCTTTGCTCGGATGCTCTCAAAAAAGCTACGTTTCCCTGATCTTTCCCTGTTTCCCATTCGTTCAGGTTCCCTAAGTATGTTGTTCTGGGCCTTCCCCTGCCTCGTTTGCCCTCAATTTTGCCAGTGAGAGCTAGTGTTGACCTATAGGTAACAAATTTTCAGCTGCTAGTGAAAGCGTGTGATCCCTCATAACGCATAATTTATAAGCCCCACTCAGAACTCATACACAAATCGTAAGTGAGATCAGTGGTCACTGTTTACCCAGTCTGTAACAAAGTTACAAAGTAACAAGGACGTCAACTTGAACTTGAGACAGAAACGTCGCTCGTTCTCAGAGTGGTGGCATAATATAGCACTTGGTCCTCCTTGTCAGACACATTTCATTTCATTGTCACCCATGCACAAAAGCAGCAACAAAAATAAAATAAAATAAAACCCTGTGAAAACAACTATGCAGCTATCTTCGGCTGGGACCTTAGAAAAGAATGGTTTGGGGGTTTTTTTTCACCTTGATCAGTCCTGCCTGCCTTAGACGGCCACCTGTCTTATACGGCCACTTTTCTCCTTAACAATGGGTGGGTATCCTATATATATGAGTAAAGAAATTTAGAATCCAGTGTACTTAAGTCGATTTGTAGTCTAAGTCGACATTGTTAGAAAAAATAGAGTTAGTCAAGTTGATCCCCATCTTACTTGCATGCGAATGGGATTTGATGCGCAGTGCTATTGTGTTCAGAGGGTACACACCAATATATACAATGGGGCTACCCGACCCTCTCTGAGCTTCAATTTCGATATAAAGATGGCGTCTTATATGGTCTTAAACTTGAAACTTGGCAAGCGATCGGAAGAGATCAAACGTACATTTAAGGCATAAATATTGCATCATTTATACCATTAACATATTGAATTGTATGAATTGCCTGTGCTAACAGAATCACCCTGCTGCCCCCTTGATAAATTCCTCTATAAATTAATTAACTTTATTAAATGGAAATCTGCTTTATTACAGAAATGAAAAGGAAAATTCCTTCCCTTCAGATTGTTTTTACCATTTTACCGGTCTCTATATTATGAATAATGAAAAATGCTTTACCCTTTCAGCCCTGATTTGAAACAAAACTACATCACTTTTGGTTCCATCGGTTCTCACCTTTATGCCATGCCGCCATGTGCGACTTTTGAGTAGATGTAAGCCATGAGTGGTGCAGATGGTCAGGGTGTTGCGCGTGGGAAATCTCATCCGTGCTTGTGAAAGTGTTCGAGTGGTGCTCCAGCACTGAAACTTTCGTGGTAGCCAGAAGCCAAAGATGTGAAATTAGTTTGACCTATGCCTGCCACCCTGGTTGTGCTGCCATCCAAGAGAAAAAGTTCTGTGAATTTGTTACATGATGCATGGGAAGGGTGGCGTTGGTTTTCCATGCTTATTACACTGGCGGTTTGGGCTAAGAGTGGAAACAAAGATGTTCAATCGTTTCTGTTTCTGTAACACTGGTCCTATGAGATGCAAGAACTGGTCGCAATGGATAAGTAAGACTGACGTATGCAGACTTGCCACTTATCCCGATTTGTTCATGATATCCTGATTTTTTGCCCCGAATCTCAAGAATCCCAGTTTCCCCGATTTCGATCACGCTTGTCCTGATTTTTTGTGCCGTACTGCTGCGCCGGATTTTTCTGAAAACTTACTCTTCCTTCTTCTCTGCTGGGAGAAGCACCCATTAAACTTTTCATCAGCAGGAACTCAGAGCACTATTTTCATAACTATCGATGCTGGATTTAGTAGCTGACTCACCCCAAGTTGTGTTGGATCTTTGCTCGCACATGTTATTTCAACTATAATGGAAGTGGCGTCGGTAGCCTAGGTAATGGTTAGGCTACTGGGCTCGTAATCATGAGATCGAGATTGCGGGTTTCGGGGTTCGAGCTTCAGCTCGGTCTGACGTTGTGTCCTTGGGAAAGGCACTTTACACGAACTTCCCACTTGGCTCGGTCCTATCGGAGACGGACGTTAAACTAGGAGGTCCCGCCCCTTAAATAGCCTAATAGTGTTGATAGGGGCGTTAAACCCATAACATTTCACCAACTATAATGGAAGTAGTACCAGTTTGACATTCCTACTTGGGACATTCTCAAGATCTACTTTCGCTTTTGTTTCCACTCAGAATTCCCTGACGATGGCCTGACTGATAACTGTTTCAACTGTGACATGCAAATGATCAATACTATTCATAGTTCTGCTGTTACTTTTAAAACAAGCTTTGTCCAAATTCTGGTTTGTCAGGCCAGTCATCAAAACCTGTTAGTAAGACTTGTTCAATTGTGCACTCCCATCACATGACTTCAGCGTGTGAGTTCCGTGTGTGTCTGGGACCATCCGTCAATGTGGTCAACTTAAGATCATGCACTCTGACTGAAGCAGCTTTTGGGACATGGGGGGGGGGGGGGGGGGGTTTAGACACTTGGACAAGGGTCCTTGACATGATATTTCAGGATTTTAAAAAATAATTCTCTCTCTTTTTCTCTCTCTCTCTCTCTCTCTCTCTCTCTCTCTCTCTCTCTCTCTCTCTCTCTCTCTCTCTCTCTCTCTCTCTCTCTCTCTCCCTCTCCCTCTCTCTCTCTCTCTCTCCCTCTCTCTCTCTCTCTCTCTCTCTCTCTCTGACACACACACACGCACACTTAAACACACACAGAGGACATGAACACATTTATATTTATGGACACCCCTGAAAATTTTTTGAGTCAGCCTGCCAGTCACCCTGGTGATTTGCTATTGATCCTGATTTTTTTCCCCAAATCCCGATTTTTTCCCCTTGTGATCCTGATTTTTAGATTTCCTATAGTGGCAGGTCTGCATATGCCATTATCAGAGAGGCTAGGATAGCACTTGAGAGATGTGAGGTTTTGACGACTCACTGCTTGCCAACCAGGCAAGTGACCCTTAATCCCACTGGCTGGGCCTCTGGAACCTCATTTTCTCTCCCCCTAAATTTCTGTAAGATGGGAAATATCTAAGACGGAAATTTTTTCTGGCTCCCTTGTGATTCCATCTTAGACAGGTTCAACTGTATTATATTTTGAGAATATTCACCCTTACTTAAAAAATTATTTTCAAAATAAATCATTTTCAAGCCTCTTAGGCCATCATTCCACATGGAGCGTTTTTTCATGTAGAGATTGGAAAAAAGGTAATATTGCTGCATACAGATAAAATCCATGCTCACGATTGCGTCGAACGTGAAAAGTTATGGTACCGTACCAAGTTTCAGTGCTCTAAATTGATTAGTTCAAAGTTTATATGTTCTTTTTTGTTTGTTTGAAATGAATGAAAATATATAGAGAAACCAGTCCATACCCTCTACTATATTTGTTACATATTTTATGTGCGAATATGAACCAAAAAAGGTGCCTTTTTTGTAATCTGCACGTCTGTCACATAATCAAATCTTCACAGCAGAATAATCATTTGAATAATGACTTTTTAAAAATTCATCTGGCTGAGCTAATCAAATATATAATCAGTGGCCATTTGCCAAATTGTGTTCTATTTACGGCTTTACTCTACTCTTAACAATAGTGCTCCTGATAGGAACAGTTGAAAGTCGGCAAAGTTTGAAAGATCATGAGTCATGGTTCAGACCATATGTTTCATGTCAATCTGTCTGCATATCATTAGTGTGAACAGGCCAACTGCTATTGATGTATTACATTGCTTTTGTGTTGTCCATTTATGTTCTGTTGTATTTTTTATTTTCAATAGCTGTAATGGACTTTGTTTCTTCAACTTTCTAACTTTTCATTTGGTTCTTGTTTCAGAGATGAATGGGGACTCTGGTAAACATGTAAATGGGGATGCTTCCTCTCAGGAACGGGTTGCCATTTTGGATGCAGGGGCCCAGTATGGAAAGGTAAGTTGTGTTTTTTTATAAATTTAATTTTGGTCTGGTTTGAATCTGTATTTTTTGAGTTGGATAATTGTAAGTGTAACTTGATATTCCATCATGATTTTGCTTTGGTGGAAATTGCTTCTTCCTGTGTCTGTTTTCTGTTTCTAGCAACATGATGATTGTCCATCAGGATGTCTCTGAGAGCAAAACGTTAGAATAGATTTATCTCAGGGAAGAATTCATGTTGCCGTTCTTGTTTTGTTGCAGGTGATTGACAGAAAAGTGAGAGAACTCAAAGTTGAGTGCGACATCTTACCCCTTGACACACCAGCCTTCACCATCAAAGAAAAAGGCTACAGGTATGTAGGCCTTGTAATGGTTACAATGGTATACAAGTTTTCAGCATCTTTTTTATTTGGTAGCTTTCACTCTTTTATTTGTCATAAGGGCATCCTTAGCAATGCCACAGAGACCCCGTGCCAGCATCATGATAACATGGTGACCTTGATTCTGCCCTGGGTAACCCTGAGGACATGCTAATTTATGGCACAGGGGGTTTATTTGTGTTAACCTGTGTATCACACATCAGTAGATGCCGGAGAAATTGGAGCATTCACTGAAGAAACACATTTCCCGATATCTTCAGTGACAGCCAGCCGAGTTTTTTAAACTTTAAACATGAATTGATGGTGGCATTCGCTGTTCTGGTTAATTGTATTTGTTTAGTGGTTGAAAGAGCCACACTTTGTCTTTGCCAAGTCCTTCGTAATGTTTTGATAAGGAATAACTTCTCTCTCGCAGAGCCATCATAATCTCTGGTGGGCCAAGCTCTGTCAATGACCCTACAGCTCCTCAGTATGATCCCGATATCTTCAAGTGTGGCTTACCTGTTCTGGGAATTTGCTATGGCCTTCAGGTATGTCTTCTGGAATTTGTGCTTGACAGCTTGTGAAGAGGCCAGTGTTATGTTTGCTGACTCTGTGTTGATTGTGTTTGATTTTTTGTAGATATGCCCTGAGAATTTGTGTACTTTTGAAGAGAATGGTATGGTAAGTTGGACACCAGGATCAATTTGTTGAAACAAAATTAATCGTTTGTTCAAATGCATGTGAAAAGTAGTGGAGCTGTCCTCCATGGTTGCTGGTTATAATGTAATTTTTTTCCTAATCCAGAGTTGTTACAGTGAGTTCTTTTGCTTAGTTTGTTCCTCTGATATTTTGGTCTTGATTTCTTTCCTGTTTTCTCCGCAGATGTTAAACAAAGAGTTCAATGGGAAGGTTACGAAAACAGATGCTCGTGAAGACGGTCAGTTTGACATTACAGTGGACACCAGCTGTACCCTGTTCAGGTGACATGTCGTACCACATGTTGTACACTGATGTTTGTTCAGGTGATATGTTGTACACAGACGTTTGTTCAGGTGATATGTTGTACACAGATGTTTGTTCAGGTGACATGTTGTACACAGATGTGCCTAGTGAGTTCGGTCATACCACATAAGGGCCAGCCAGGTTCCGCAGTATAAAGGGGCAAAAGCTACCATTTTGGCACAGTATGACTGATTCAACATGCAGTCATGAGAAGAATGGGTTTGATTTCGATGGTCACTGTGGATTCTGGTCAAATTATGCCCCCCCAAAAAGTTACACCCCCCATCCCCTTCCCCCGTAAAAGTCCAAACCGTACAGAAACATTGAAAGGACTTTTTTTCAATTGATTGCTACTCAAATTTATCTATTTTACACACCAGCTCCAGCAAATCATACAACAATTGTAAAATATAGGACCCATGTAAACTTCTGGGCCTACCCTAGAGTGTAAAATATATATGATGAACCTAACACCTAGCCTGCTCGGATAAGGGAAAAAAATCTTGGAATGTCGCGTGTGCAAGTTGCACACAATAGAGATCCCTTGGAGGTCCTTAAATTGATAAGAGTAGGCTTCGGCTACTAGAGCTGGGCAAAGAATCTAGTCGGGAACCGATTCCCAAGACTAATTCTACGAAAGAAAAGTTCCGACTCCTTTTTACGTAAACCAACCGTTACCAGTTACTTTAATCTGTAAAATCTTCTTTTTTTATTTTGAAATTTTGGAAAAGTAAAATTTTGATGCTTCGTATGTAGTGTTCCGAAATCAAGGTTTTCCTAAATCCTAAAGATGTTCGGAGCTACCATGTAATCACAGGAAGAAATCCCATCATTGGAAAGTAAGTAATTGGGTTCGGAGTCGATTCCTATGATTCCTAGCTTCCAACAACCGGGAACCTCGCCGCCCAGCACTATCGGCTACCACCTGGGCAAAATTCAAAATTAATTCCTACCAAACTGATAAATCTTTAATGTGTCCTGCATGCTCATATAACCATATGCAGTTGCGAGTGCTGTCGAACACTTACCCCCAAAAAATTGACCCATATGAACTACAGGGCCTACCCTAGAGCTCATGTCAGTCTCAACAACAGACGTTATTACCCTGAGGGTACACTAGGCATCAGATTCAGTGGATTTGAGCGGTGATCAGCCAGTTTTTCCTTATTGGAATAGTTAAAAGCTGCCATTTTAGCGCAATTCATTGTCTTTTTTTGTTTTGTTTTGTTTTTTATTTGGATTGGAAAAGTTGGCAGCTGTGCAGTTTTCATCGTTTCCATGTGGACTGTGTTGTTGTTGTTGCAGGAAGCTGGGGGAGAAACAAACTGTGCTGCTGACCCACGGAGACAGCATCACGCAAGTCGCAGACGGCTTCAAGGCCGTCGCTCACTCTGGGAACTTCATAGCAGGTAGTGGGGGGAGACTGGCGGTGGCTGGCTGGCGCCTGCTGTTTCGGGATTTGCTCCTTCTTTCCTATCACATATTTATCATTCTTATTTCTCCTACTTTTCTTTGCATATTACTCTCTAGTAGCGTCTTTAATCTTCGGCACTTATATGAACTATTTGTGTTGCAATTGCAGTAAAATTTGATCACACTGAAAAGGAGAGTGTCAAGTCCTTACCCTCTAAATGCAGTGAAATTTGTTTGTCCAAAGCAGCCACTTGCTGTTGAGGAGAAAAAGGTTGTCAAAGACACATCATAGTATAAAAAATACTCAAGGGGGGAAATGGGAAAAGGCTGTTTGTACAGTTAATTTGATTGTCTTATGTAGGTGGCCATTAGAGCAAGTTGACTGTCCACACTTTGTTTTGCTAGGACAGTATGGTTCCCACTGTAGGCTTTGCTGTTATTTTAGCTTGGAACTAGGAGAGTATAGCTGATGAAATTCTTGTCTGTTATTATCTTGAACAAGTATAGCTAATTAAATTCTTGTCTGTATTATCTTGAACAAGTATAGCTAATTAAATTCTTGTCTGTATTATCTTGAACAAGTATAGCTAATGAAATTCTTGTCTGTATTATCTTGAATAATATAGCAAATGAAATCCTTGTCCGTATTTTATTATCATGAACAATATTTCTAATGAAATTCATGTACGTGTATCTCGATCAGGTATCGCGAACGAGAAGAGCCGTCTGTATGGCGTGCAGTTTCACCCGGAGGTGGACCTCACGGAGAATGGCCAGCAAATGTTCAAGAATTTCTTGTTTGACGTTGCCCAGTGCTGCGGGAACTACACCATGACCAGCCGGGAGAAGGCGTGTGTCACGTACATCAAGGAGACCGTCAAAGACCACAAAGTATTAGTAAGTGAACGTTTGACCGAATGAGCAGGTCTGTGGTTAGAGTGAGACACCATCTATTAGAATGTCATTGCAGCTGGAGGGTCATGTCAATGGTGTCATGTTCTATCAGTGGAATGTCTATCTGGAAAATTTTTCAATAGGCTTTTAAAAAAAAAAAGTCTGATTTGAATGATGAGGAGAGAAGATGCAGAAGTTGTTCCAAGTGTACTGTGCACACAAGAAGGATGTGATTTTGGTTATCATAATTTTGGTTTTTTTTTTTAAATTATTATTTTGCTTCTTTTTGTTGTTGTAGATGCTGTTAAGTGGAGGCGTGGACTCGACTGTGTGTGCTGCTCTACTTCACAAAGCTCTGAATGAGGATCAGGTGATTGCTGTGCACATCGACAACGGTTTTATGCGGAAGAAGGAGAGCGAAGAAGTGGAGAAGTCTCTCAACAACTTGGGCCTCAAAGTCAGAGGTGTGTGCATCATCATCTCATCATCATCATCTTCATCCCTTTATTGTCTGGGTCAGGGTGTAGGCCACCAACAAACACTTTCCATCTTTCCCCGTCCCGGGTTCGCCTCATGACTGTAGAAGCTCCTCTGTCTCCCAAGATGGAAAAATTCTTTTTTTTTGGTTTGTGTTTGCGTTTCTGTGACTGTTTAGCTTTTACAGGGTCAGGTAGTTGGTCCTCCACCTCCCGCCTCTCTCTCTGGGAATCCAGGCCTACCTTCAGTTGCCTCTTGCGACATGTAAAATCATGGCAGGTTTATCTCTCTGCTTCCCCTGTAGTTAAACTATGGGAACCCCCTAGCTGCAGGGACGAAAGGTGTTTGCGCTTCGCTGACAAAAACAAACTTTTACTACATGTACCAAGTAATGTTCGCATTTCTTTTCCCATCTTTATGTTTGTACTACCTGATTTTTGGTCAAACGAATTTGAGATATGCAGCCACATATAAATATGTATCTTTCTCATAATGCTGTTTCCATGTGTGTGTGTGTGTGTGCAAGGGAAGTTTCATTTGATATTTGGTTGACCATGATACTACTTTCAGTATTTTATTATTCAGTGGTTGTTTACATCGGTGTGTATTTTGGACTTTTTCAGTCGTCCGCGGGTCTCATACGTTTTACAATGCAACAACAACGGTGCCGATTGAGGGAAGCGACAACGCCTCCAGAAAGAGAAAAACTAACACACTGAACACAACAACACATCCCGAGGATAAGAGAAAAATAATTGGGGACACTTTTATGAAGGTAAGCTTCTGAAAGACATCCGTTTGTTTTAGTTGAAGCAGAGATACTGTTTTTCCAGAGTAATTTTTGCATTGTTTTCTCTGAAATCTGTTTCCAGAAGTTGTTATTTTCAGTAGTTGTTTTCTGTTTAGCCCCATATTAGTTGTGTCTGTAACTGTCTTTTTGTTTGCTACTGCATCTTCCTAAATGTTGAGTTATTTTCCCTAAGTCCCATTGACATCCGATGTGAAGTTCCCCCTCTACTGACAAATGAAATCTGTGACTGCGACACAATTTAGAGATGTGGGACAAAGTTCTCTCAGTATAGCACGGCAATATCTGGTTAGTGTCAGCATTGTTATGAAAAAATAGTTTAGAATATTCAACTCTTACAGAACAAGCAGACAGACTACCGGTAAGGAAAACGTCATGCCCATTTCATGGAGAGTTTTTATATTCTCAAATTTTTGTGAAGTTCCGTTCCTATTTCTTGATAATTTCCAGATTTATGGTCTATGTTTCATGAAAGTGGCAAAAGAAAGTTCACTGAGATTCGTTGTTACCTTTTGAGGTTTAATAAAATTTTGAGTAAGTTTAGTGTACCGGTATCCAATTTATTTTTCTTCAAAACTCACCCAGATTAGAAAGTTTTTGTCTCATTTCCCTTCCAGATTGCAAATGAAGTTGTGGATGAGTTGAACTTGAAACCAGAGGATGTCTATTTAGGACAAGGTAGGTACTCGGCTTGCTTTACCTTCTTGTGACATTTGAGGGCTTGATTGGGCGTGAGGGGTTCTGCGGTGATCTGATCTTTCTTCGCAAAATTATTAAGAAATGATGAAAATGTTGATTTAAAATTTTTGCTTGAATTAGATGGACAAATATCTTCTGAATTAGTTGAACTTGGAATCACAGCTGAAATTTTGTGATAAAATGATAAAATGTTGCTTTTTAGAGGAAAGGGTGTGTGTAAAATTATCCCATTTTTCAAGTAAATAGCCCTTGACAATGGGGACATTATTTTGATTCTTTCATTCTGGTTTGTACTTCTCTGGTCAGTTCTGTTTCAGTGCCATGTGTGGAGAGTTGTAATGATAATAACAATAATAGTTCATCTGTCAATATCTGAAGATAACCAATAATACATCTGCAGAGGAGAATATTTATAAAACAAAGGAGAAGAAATGAGGAAAAGAGCAGGAGACAAAAACGTGACAAAGGAACTGGTAAAAGAGGGAGGCTGGTACAAGGCTGTCTGTGACGACAGCGGACGCTGGTTGAACCAACACCTGTAGAAGACAATCTCCTGTACAAACGGACGACACTTCTGATTTTTACTGTGAATGACACTGCCCAAGACACCCACTTGTCTAAGACAACAGCGTTCCTCCTCAATAGTGGGTGGCCATCTTAGTTTCGAGGGGGCTCTCGTGGCCTAGAGGTTAAGGTGTTGGCCTCTCATTGAAAGGTCCCGGGTTCGAATCCGGGTAGCGACCAAAAAATTTTCTTCTCTAAAATTGTCACCTTTCACCTCCTTTCCTGCTCTCTAGCAATGTTCTGTTGTCTGCTTTCATTTCCACTTTATGCCCCCACCCCCTCACCTCCTTTGCCCCCTCCTCTGGGCTCCTGACTCTTTCTGCAGCCTTTCTACTGCTACTCCTTGGCTCCTCCTTACTGCTGTCTTTCTGCCACACCCCTGATCTTCTGGTAGGAAAGATCTACACCTAGCCTTCTCGGACAAGGGCGAAAAATCTCGGAGGGCCCCGTGTGCAAGTTGCGCACGTTAAAGATCCCTTGGTCTAAAATCGATAAGAGTAGGCTTCGGCTGCCACCCGGGCAAAATTCAAAATTTCCTACAAACTGAAAACATTAGGTGTGTCCCGCGCGCTTATATGACCTTATATGCAGTTGCGAGCGCCATAAAACTCTTTACAGAAACAAAAAAAAACAAACATTAGTTTCGAATGTACTTACTTTTATGGGTTTTTTCTGCTTTGACTCCTTGGGTTTTTTGTTGTTCCCAGGCACGTTAAGACCAGATCTTATTGAGAGTGCGTCTGCTATGGCCAGTGGGAAGGCAGACGCGATCAAGACACACCACAACGACACAGACCTGGTCAGAGAACTCAGGGCACAGGTCAGTTAGCATTGGTCGCTTGGTCAGTTAGCGTCGGTCACTTCCTGTAGATCGTCAACTGGCCCCAAGTACAAGCAGACTGTCCTGGATTTGGAAGTCAGCAAAACCAGTTTCACTTGTGTAATTTTGTTAGATGTCAGGCCACCTGAAGTCATGTCACCTTGTTGGGTCTCCATGGTTAGAATTTGAAAAAAAGTTGACGTGCCTGCTTTTTAATCTTGCCTGGCAGCCTGAGTTCTGCTGGGACTGCTCCGGATTTTGCCAGTGAGAATTAGCATTTATAAGACAGCTACTTTTATCCTCAACAGTGGGCGGCCGTCTTGGACAATTTGGTGTGTGGTTGAAGGGGCTGGCTGGTAGGTCCTACTTCTGATCTTTCCCTGTTTCTGTCTGTCTTGCTTATTCCCTGTACTGTATGACTGTCACTGTGTCGATGTGCTCTTACTAAAACTCCGCTGTGTGGATGTGTGTTCTTTGTTCAGACTCAAACTTGGACAATTTCCACTGTGTGTTTTAAAAGTATTTTCTTACTGGCTTTTTAATTTGACATAACCACATCAGAGGCACCTTCTACACCTATTGTTCCCAGAATAGTTTTGTGAGCCTCTGTGACTGACATTGGTTGTGTTACGTTTAATTCTTTTTAATGGGCAAAACTGATATTTTAGGAGTTTTTGAAAGTGTACTGGCACGCAGGAATTATAAGTATAAGCCTTTTTCTTCATTCACACTGTTTTTTAATTGTCTAAAGAAAATTTTTTAAAGACGATTTAAGGCAAAAAAGGTTGTTAAAGGAAAAGGTTGCATTAAAGGTGGTTATGTATATTTAGAAAAATTCTGTTACGCATGCTTTGGTTGATGTTAGGAATTGGTTGCTCTTATCTGGGTTGCTGTTATCATCCAGGTTGCTGGTAAGTGGACACCACTGTATAAAGTTGCCAACTTTTCTGTTTCCTGTGTAGGGCCGTGTGGTGGAGCCCCTGAAGGACTTCCACAAAGACGAGGTGCGGCAAATCGGGAAAGATCTCGGGCTGCCGGAGGAGCTGGTGCACAGACATCCTTTCCCTGGTGAGTGAAGGGGGAGGGATCCCTTCCTTGGGGGGGGGGGGGGGGCTTTTTGAGATGATCTTTATGTTCAGATCGCAGTGGTATTTAAACCTTTTTTTTGTATGTGATTATATGGAAGTTTCACATCAGAGGAAATTTTGTGCTTGAATCGAGCAGCTACTTGCACTGAGTTTTATTTCCTCAAAAGAATGTAATTCGTCATGAAAATGCTCAATGCTTCATTACAGCTGTGACTCATGCACTTGGCGTGCGTGTGTATGAATATTTACGTGTGAATGTATTAGAGCATCAGTTGTTCATCATTGGCGTTTGTGGTGTAGCGGTTAGGCTTTTTGCTGTAGCACACAGGAGACCTGAGTTTGATTCCCGAATAGGAAGAATTTTTATCAAGTATCTCAGTCTTTCTGCAGGATGCTGCATCCCTCTCAGCCCTGGTTGGTCCTGACAGGCAGGGCTGAAAGGGTTAAAAAAAGCTTACATTTTAAAAGAAATCTATACCTTTCCTCGCTTTTGTAGTTTATATGTCAATGCTGTAAGCAACGTGTTTAGGGGTCTGGTGAAGTGTTGATCACTATTATTTTACCTTAGGATTTATGTCGTTTCCTGTGAGCCCCATACTTGCAGGTCCAGTTTCAGTCCGTGGTCATTTACTTTCCTTGGTAGTTTACTTGCGTCTGCATATCGTTGGTGGAGTGATGAAACTTCGCAACCCCAGAAAGGAAAATTTTGCAGGAGAGACAAAAAACTGATTTATTCGTGAATAAAATGATCTATATAAACCAAAGTTGGTACAGATAAATGTTAACACCTTAGAAACGTGGTTAGTGCAAAAAAATTACTTTTCTACTGTTTAAATGGTTATGCTGTGGGATGCGAGGTTTCATTACAACACTTTTGGCGCGATGAAACCTCGTAGTCGGCCGTCGGGAGGGTTCGGGGTTTCATCAGGACAGAGTTTGAGGGTTGATAGTTTTCTCGCAGCCTATTTGGTTGCAGTATGCCTTGTTTGGAACGCCACAAAGTGATAAAAATATTTTTTCAAGACCAATTAGTTTACAGTTAGATTCCCAGCCAACTGAAGTCAAATAATTGTGTTACCTGCAGAATTTGGGTTTGAATCCTCAAACGGATTAGCGATCTGTGCAATTTGTTTCAATATAATTTGCCAGTATTAGATCTGGTTACTTCCATTTTACAAAAAAAGCACAAATTAATAGCATATCTCAGCAATATGGTCTCTGGTTGTACTGTAGATTGTTTTCACAATGGTAAGAAATGGATCTAGATCAAAATATAGACATGTTTTTCGAAGTTTTAAGGCATCAGTCCATTACAAAATTTATTAAGAAAACAATGTAATTCACACACACACACACACAAACGCACACCACAAAATGCTTTGAAAAACGAATGGAGAAAGTCAATCCAAAAAAGGTGGTGGGTGATGAATACTAATGGGGGAAATTATAAATATGCATAACGTACGTGCAGACTAAAAAACAAACAACCCTAAAAGGCCAGTATGATGCCTGGGACTGAAAAAATATAATGAATAGCCATAAATGGTAATGGCAGACCTGCCACTCATCCCGATTTAATCGGGATATCCCGATTTTTGGCCCTAAATCTCAAGCATCCCGATTTTCCCGATTTCGATCGCCAGTATCCTGATTTTTTGTCGTTGCGTCTGTTGCGACCAATTCTTAGAAAAAAATATAAAAAGTTCTGCAATCTCTTTTGGTTGAAAGCACTGGTTGGATTTTTTATCGGCAGGAACTTGGAACGCTACTTTCTAAGGCATCTATGCCGAATGTAGTAGAGGACTCACGCACGTTATTTCAACTAAACTCGACCGTTGTTCTGCCGTTGCTTTATAAGCAAGCTTCGTCTGAGTTCTGGTTAGCCGGGCCCATCATCAAGACCTGTCAGTGGAGCTTTCAAACGTTCATTCGCATCTCATGACATGACTCGTACGTGTGAGTAGCGCGTGTGTCAGGGACCGTCGGCTGTCGGGGTCAGCAAAGTTCATTCACACCGGTCGCATTGGTCGAGGTGTTTTTCGGGACTTAACCAGTGTGGACGACCGGGGGGAGGGGGTGGGGATATTGTTTTGACACTTGGGCTTTAAATGCGTGCCGTGATACATGTACTAATTGAGGATAAAGGAATTTTTTAAAAAGAAAGAAATGAACAACTTTGGCGCGATCTTTTTTTCCGGGAGGGGGGGTGCCTTGAGTGTATATGCGATAGAAGTCAAACGTTGTTACAATATTAATATATGAAAACGCGGGCTTTTTGCATGGATGATTAGAGTTATGTGTCAGCTATTTTCAAGACTACGAGAGTTTCAAGTTTCAGCTTTACTGCAACCTGCGCTCCCCCGGTCTATCCAGCTCCGACTCGAGTACATATATGCTGTCTTTCAGCTTTCCCTCTATTTAGTGGCCCAAACGTGAACTTATTCCTGCAAAAGTTTTGCCTTGCATACTTGCCTCATAAAAGGGAACCAGGACCCCCCCCCCCCTTCCCCCTGTACCTCTTATGACTGATTTGCCGTTGATCCCGATTTTTTTCACCAGATCCTGATTTTTTAACTCTAAAATCCTGATTTTTAGATTTCATAGAGTGGCAGGTCTGTAATGGGGTAAATTGTCATAAAGTGATGACGTATATTGGAAATAACAGATTCAAGCTCCTGCAGGTGATTATACTTGGAGTGCTGGATTGTAAGACGTTCTGTGTTCAGTGGTGTAGCAGGATGGACCTCCTCATGTTTCTGTGTCCTGCCTTGGGAACGTCAGCTCATTCATCACTGAAATGCAGCTTCAACTGGATGGGATGTTCATGTCTGGGGTGTACTTCAATCAAATAACTGATGTTAGTGGCGACAGGATCACCCGTTTTTCTACCTGGTCTGATAGACTTGTAGCTTCCACACTTAGAATAATCCTTGAAGAATGTATGATCCAAATATTTGTTTTGATAAGTGTTGGTTTTGCTCTTGCCATCCTGAGAAATGGAGGTAGTGTATGGGGACCTCGATGTGTGCTCTTCGAACTGATCTCACAATAGTTGAGTGCACAGTCAACTTCCTATTGTGTGTCCTTTGATCAACTGTTTCTGTTCAAGTGTGCTATCATGTGATGTTGCAAACAGACTGAGAGAAACATTGGCAAGAGTGGCATTTCTGTATTGGTAACTACAGCCGTCGCAGTCAATGATAGTTTTCTGGAAGTCCAGCTTTTCCTTCTGGAAATCCACAAGACATGAAGCAAACTCATTTGGCATAAGCCCCCCTTCTGCTTCATGCCACACGTAACAAGTAGTCTGGTGTGTTGCAGCATCAAATAGCGTAAAGTTATGAACGACAAGCTTTGTTTTGTAATATAGGGCTGATGCATTCAGTTTCGGTGTAAGAAGCACAGACTGAGATCCATAGAAAACATGCGCTGTTTTAGGTTCATCACTGGCGAGATATTTGATGGCTTCAGATTTGTCTCGTTCCTTTTTCCTTGCGCACTGTCCCTTTTCTAGAATGTGCGCATTCCAAACATCCCCTGCACGTTGTCAACTTCATTGATAATGCGAAGGTCGCACATAGATCTATCTTCTTTGAGGGGGGGGGGGAGTCTGTTGAGAGGCTACCCCCTGTGGCCTTGGCAGAATTGTGCATACATTTTGAAGATATCTGAGTTCCTTTGATAATTGGTTCAAAATGTTTCTTACAAATCATTCACTCAACCCAGTTGAATAGTTGAATGCAGGGAGATCCTTTACACACTGGCACCTTATGACCACCTTTTTAAATGTGTATTTGAAGGTATGCTCTGTCTGGTTCGTTTCTGAATGCCTCCTCTGGTGTTGGTCTATGTCCACTAGTCCAATAAAGGGACATATTTTTTTCATCCCATGAGAGGACCACACTAAATCAAAATTAGAATGTCTGTCTTCCCCGAGAGCCCTTAACATTTCAGAGTTCAGCTCTTGCAATCACAGTTTGGTTTCAGTGACGTAGCTGGGCTTTTCATTAAATCATTATGTATTCCTGTCCAGATCCACGGATGGCCTTTCTCTTATTTGCTGCTACTCCTGAAAACCCTTTCTTTTCCTCTGTGGAGCATCATTCATGCTGGCATCACAAATGAGCTGTGTTTCCTAGATCAGGTGACAAGTGGTGTTGGTGCAGACTTAGTCTGGAGTGATGCTGATCTTTCCTTGCCCCCACATATAGGGCACATCCCTAGAAAGGACTGCGACATGGTGGCTAGGGTCAATTCATGGAACGTGGCCTGCTCAGTGGTTTCCAAACCAGCTCTTGGATTGTGTAAAAATCTAGGTGATGCGAGCACAGTTGGGGGAGATATTCATAACAGATACGCAAATGTCCATATCATTTGTATTGTTGAGGCACAAATTTGTCACAATGTTCTCTTTAGACTTCAGGGTCAAGAAGAACATGGGTAAGTTCAGTTCTATTCGGTCTCAACAACAACTGGAGGATTCGACTAATCAGCGGATTCATAGTCTGAGAAGGTGTGAAACCTTACCCTCTCTTTGATAAACAAAATGGCCAGTTGACATCTGGAGAGTGCACAGATTTGTCAATTGTTCTTAGTAAGCACTATTGTCACCTGTCTTTTCAAGGTGGGACTGTTGCCTTAAATTAAGTGTTAACTACGTTTGTGCTTGATGAGAACATCTTGTTCACCAACGCGTTAGTCATCCCTATAACAGATTTCAAATAGATTTACAGAAAGTAATTCCTTCACTTATGACCATATTTGAATTTCTGAACTGACGGAAATAAAATGAATGAATGAATGAATTAATTAATGAATGAATGAATGAATGAAATTTGTTTTTATTCAGTCAGGCATATAAAACGCACTAGAAAATGTCAATTACGAGCGCTTCCATTAAGCCAATTCATAAAGAAGGGTAATCCAGAACCTCGAATTAGCACGCCACTCTCTCAAACCGGGAGTGATGATTCCACGCAAAAGCAGATCGGCGCACCAGGTGAGGATTGCGAGGTTTCATCACGCCAGGATATCATGGGGGGGAAACATACGAGGCTTTTTATTAAGTTTTTTTCATACTTTCTCTTTATAATTTAACCCACTGCTTTTGACACAATGTGAAGAAGGACTGGGAGAAGACCTCAAGGCAAAAAAACGATTTTCGAAAAAAATGCGGGTCATGAGGTTTCATCACTCCACCAGCGATATACTTAAAATGTTTTCCTCTTCCAGGTCCAGGTTTAGCAATCCGGGTGATATGTGCGGAAGAGCCATTCATGTGTAAGAACTTCGCTGAAAACTGTGTGGTGCTCCGGATCATCACAACGTTTGCCACATCTTCCAAAACTGTAAGTGTTTGTCTGCTGGTGGGACAATATCATTTTTCTGCCTTGTCTCACACATACACATGCATGCATACGCGCACACATACACACACACACACACATGCACATTCACTCACATACATGCGCATGCACACTCACACTCCTCACTCACTGTTGAATCGTATCAAGAGTTGATCAGTAAAATTTCTCTCTGTCCCCCCCCCCCCCGCGCGCGCGCACAGTGTACAGCCTCAGTCACTGTTGAATCGTATCAAGCGTTGATCAGTAAAGTTCCTCTCTCTGTTATTGTTGAATCGTATCAAGAGTTGACCAGTTTTCGTTACTTGTGTGTCAAGCCTCAGTCGCAGTTGAATCGTATCAAAAGTTGATCAGTTTCCGCTTCTCTCCCCCTATCCTCTGTGTGTGTCCAGCCTCACTCACTGTTGAATCGTATCAAGAGCGGCTCATCCCCCGAGGAGCAGGAGGAGCTGGTGCGGATCACCTCCAAGACCACACTCCACTCGCTGCTGCTGCCCATCAAGAGTGTCGGCGTACAGGTATTGGCTCGCTAAAATCTTTTTTTTTTTTTTTGTGGTGAATTTTCCATGTTTCAGTGTGGATGGTTCGCGTCAATGCCGTGAACAACATGAATATACCAGTCTTTTGAAGTACATGTGATTTTTTTTTTTCGTTATGACTGTAAACTGCTTGGTGGTTGACAAGTGCTCTGGTATGATTTGCTCCTTCTTTTGTATCAAGTATCGTCCTCTTCTCTCCTCCTTCTTTTCTTTGTACATTGCTCGGGTGGTTGGCAGATGCTCTGGTATGATTTGCTCCTACTTTTCTGTCAAGTATCGTCCTCTTCTCTCCTCCTTCTTTTCTTTGTACTTTGCTCTCTAATAATACCTCTAATCTTCGTCACTTGATGACCAACTTGCGTTGCAAGTACCATAAAACTTACTGACTTTAAATTAAACATGTTAGGAGAGGCAAGCTCATTCCGACACCGAATAGTACTCGGCTGTTGGCCGATGTCATCAAGTTGCCAGAGGCCCAGCAATCAAAAGAAAAGTTGTGGAGAAACTTCAACACAAGATGGCTACGCCTGTCTATGTGGCAGACACCTTTCTTCAACCCAAGATGGCTACCCTTATCTTTGTGGCACACACCTTTCTTCAACACACGCATACACACAATGGGAGACTTTCGGACATAAGAGAGTGTTGCTTTGTTTCAGACTGTCGGACATAAGAGAGTGCTGCTTTGTTTCAGGGAGACTGTCGGACATACAGCTACGTGGCTGCGTTGTCCAGCGAGGAAGATCCGAATTGGGAAGACATGATGCTGCTGGCGAAGATCATCCCTCGGGTGTGTCACAATATCAACAGGTCAGTTACTGGAAGGGGGTGGGAAAAGATCATTTTACAGGTGTGTCACAACATCAACAGGTCAGTTGGGGGGGGGGTGTTGATTTTTTTTCCTGGCCTTTCTGTCATTCACGTCCTGCGCCACAACATCAGTTCAGTCCCTGAATGGAGAGATGTTTGTGTAGAGTATCTTTCAACTTCTGCTGGAATGTTAAAACAGGTTTTTCTCTGACAGGTAGGGTTGAAGCCCGCCTCCAAAATGATCTAAATTGTTTTGATGGGGGCCTAAAAACACCTACATTTCAATGTAACTTTTGACCTATTTGTGTTGCAAGTGCGGTAACACTTTTGATGGAAGCCTAAAAACACGTACTTTTTAATGTAATTTTGACCTTCTATTTGTGTTGCGAGTGTGGTAACACTTGTGAGTGAACCTTGCCTTCCCCAGGGTGGTGTATGTGTTTGGTGGGCCGGTGCTGTTCCCCGTGGAGGACGTGACCCCGACCTTCCTGACCACCGGGGTCCTGGCCACTCTGCGACAGGCCGACCACAACGCCTCCCGCACGCTGGCCCAGGCCGGCCTGATGAACACTATCTCTCAGGTCAGTCCGCGCACGCATTGGACAGTGTCTTCGCTTTTGCTCAGTGTGGACAAAGGGGGTAGTGTTTGTTGCCAGATTTTTGGTTGTGTTGGTACCAATTTAGGCCAACTTGATTCTATTTTCCGCCAACCTATTTTGTAAACTGCTCGGTTGATTTCTTTACTGTTTCGTGGTAGGTGAGTGAGTTCGAGGTGGGTGAGGGAGTGATTGGAAGTAGGGTCAGGTAGTGAGTGAGTGAGTGAGGGGAGGGTCAGGTGGTGAGTGAGTGAGTGAGTGGCTGGGAGGAGGGTCAGGTGGTGAGTGAGTGAGTGAGGGGAGGGTCAGGTGGTGAGTGAGTGAGTGGCTGGGAGGACGGTCAGGTGGTGAGTGAGTGAGTGGCTCGGAGGAGGGTCAGGTTGTGGGTGAGTGGCTGGGAGGAGGGTCAGTGGTGAGTAAGGATCAGGTTGTGATTGAGCTCTGAGGGTGTCCCTGACAGTGGATCCAAAAACAAAGAAGTCTGAGCTGATGTCATGCAAACCTGTGTGTAACTTCTTCGTAGGATGTTCTTTGGCTTTGATTGTTTGGAGAGTTGTCCCCAGATTGTCTGCCCTGTTGGCTCAGTCTTGGCATAGATTGGAATTAGAATGTGGGTGGTTGGCGGGTGCTCTGGTGTGGTATGCTCCTTCTTTCCTGTCAAACATCTATCATCCTTATCTCCCCTTCTTCTGTTTTATGTTTGTTAACTCTCTTGTAACACCTCTAATCTTCTTGCGCTCATATGACCTTATGCAGTTGCGAGCGCCGTAAAACTTCTACTAATACTAAACTTAGATTTAGAATAACAGCTCCTGCCTGGTAAACAAACTTGCAGTTTTGACAGTAACCTCCCCCTCCTCCACCAAAATCTCTCTCTCCAGTTATGTTACATACTTTTCTTCTTATGTTTTTTTGTTGTTTTTTTTCTTCCCTTTTCCCATCCAGATGCCCGTGGTGCTGATTCCGATCCACTTTGACCGAGATCCCAGCATGCATCTGCCGTCATGCCAGCGGTCGGTGGTGATCCGAACCTTCATCACCAACGACTTCATGACGGGGGTCCCCGCCACGCCGGGCAAACACCTCCCCACCAAGGTCAGGGCCTCTCTTTGACCTTCACATTTTGTTTCCTGTTTGGTAATCTTCTGCGAGCTTTTCGTCTGTTCTTTGCCCTGACAGCGAAGTTTGGAGAGAGAAAAAAGTTTCCTTCTTTTTACAATGGCACATACATTACGTATCTTCTTTTTTTTTCTTTTTTTTTTAAACTGTATAGTACATATATTTTACTTAAGTTGGAAAATTTCTACTAAATTTTACAAATAAAAGTTTGTCTGTGCTTTAAAATCTTCAGTGAGTAAAACTAAAACTGAAAGTCCAAGATCAAATTGTAGCACTTACATGACCAAATTGTGTCGATAGATGTGAGGGGTGCTGACAGAATGAGTTGCTTCTCAGATTATAGCCCCATGGACATAGATATATCAAATTTGTAGGTGGAGCTTGTACAATTTATAAGAATGAAATAACAAATTTGAAAAAAATGGCATGAGTTGAAAATCTACAGATCTTCTTTTCTTTGTACGGTATGTTACTCTCTAGTAACACCCCTATTGACATATTTGTGTTGCAAGTGCCGTAAAACTCATAGGAAAACTAAATCTAAATAGTGTCTTAGTTATGGCGTCGGTGGCCTAGAGGTTAGGCTCTCGGACTCACAATCCTAAGGTCATGGGTTCGAATCCGGTCAGGAACTCGACGTTGTGTCCTTGGGAAAGACACTTTACGCAAATTTTCTCACTTCACCCAGGCGAGAATGGGTACCCAGCCATAGACAGTGAAAGATTTTGCCAGTTTGGTAGTGTTAGGGCGCTTAATCAGCTGCTTGCACTGGATGCTTCCCGGGAAGCTGAGAATGTTTCTGAGTGTTCTAGGGTCTGATGGGGTAATAATAGATATAGAGCTTGCTGTAGAGCAGAGTTTTTCTCTATACAAATGCTATTTATTAATATTGTTATTATTTTTGCTATTATTTGAGTGACATAATGATCAAGAATGTGTTGTGGTGTCCACAGGTGGTGAGTCAGATGGTGGAGAACATCCTGCAGGTGCCCGGGATCTCCAGGGTCATGTTTGACCTGACTGCGAAACCGCCAGGCACCACCGAGTGGGAGTGATTTGGAGTGAGAGAGATGGAGGGGGGAGAGAACTCTGTTGACCTCTCAGCCTCGGTGACTGGTTGCGTCCCAAATTAATCTCCACTGACTGGCTAGCTGGTGTGGCTTTTGTTTCAAAAAGTCGCAGCTGGTGTGAAATCCTTTGGAAGGAACGAGATATTCAGGGCATTCTTGCGACATATCGGAAGAATAAGGTCCACCCTTTTTTTGTGTGTGTGTTTTAATCCCATTGCCCAGGTCAGTTTGCGACACCTCAATAAGAATGAGGAGTGGGAATGTTCTATAAATAGTTTAGATTCTCTGTTGGCTAACTTCTTCTCGCATCGTGTAAATTGGAGAAGATTGGGGGGAGCGTGTGGAATATTTTTTTAAAAACCAGCAACACGTTGGCGGGTTTTCTGGTGTTGTTTGCTCCTTTTTCTCGATAAAACATCTATTTTCCTTATTAAATCTCTCCTCCTTTTCTTTGTTACTTTCTTGCGACACCTCTAATCTTCAGCATTTACATAGCCTATTTGTATTACAAGTGTCGTAAAACTTGTACTAATACTAAAAACAAGTTGCACCTTAAGGATGTATGGCCATCGTTATGGTGGAGACATTTGTACAATCAGTACGACGGATACATTCTGTTGGTGGTGGTCGGTGCTGGGGTGAGGGTGAGAACTGCCGGGATAGGGGGATGTGAAAAGTGCTTGTGGATGATGCCCTGACCCAGGGTGAGAAAGGCAATGATGGTGATGATTATGATGGATTTATAGTATAGCTGCGACTTTTCCGCTAAATAGCGGAAACTCCACTCCATTTATCTTTTCCGGCAACTTTCCTCCTTCCTCCGCTGGACCGCTCTTGGTCGCAAATTGCGATGCTTTTTTTTAACACACGGAAAACACCAAACCGAGAGTGAGACGAAAACTCGGCTTGCCCTCATCTGCCTGTAGCTTCCTACTTCCGATCTGTGCCTAGCACTAGTTTCACATTGTTTATTGTGGAGCGACTGTATCGGTCGAGCATCGGGGCGATGACGCGCTGGGTTGTCATTGATAACGGCGGAAATTCGAGAGAAATTGATGCAGAATACAAAAATAAATGGAGGTGGATTGAGAAAAAAGCAGAAGTGTGCATTTTTTGAAAATTGAACAAGCTGGGTGCTGCACTTTGCGTTTGGTGCGATAAAAAAAATCTCAAGTACAGTGGCAAAGGTGTTGCCTCCTTAATCCGATACTGCTCTACATCGTTGCACAAGACTAAAGTGAAAGAAATATTATTATGAGACACTAGCTGGCAACAAACACTGGATTTTTAGTCACCAAACTGGGTCAAATGCTTACTTTGTCAACTTAAAAGATTGGGGGGGGGGGTTCAAATACATTTTTATTCAGTATGGTTAACAAATATGACACTTTTCCCTTCCAAAGACAAAAGGTCTAATATATTGCCTCTGGATTTCACTGGTTTTATTCCGGCCTTCGGAGAGCATGGGTGCGCCTTTACATGAATTTTCTCCTTTTTTGAAATTCCGGAGTGGCAGTTAGGTATATCACTATCCCATCAGTTAGGTTCTTGCTGTCAAATGTGAATTGATAGGCTTTGTCTTGAGGTAAAGGAGACTGTTTGATGTTGGAGTAGGGATATTAGATCATTGTTCCTTGGATTTAGACTTTCCAAAATAAACAAGTGGGTGGTTGGCGGGTGCTCTGGTGTGGTTTGCTACTTCTTTTCTATTGAGCATCTGTGGTCCTTATCTCTCCTCCTTTTCTTTGTACGTTACTCTCTAGTAACAACCTCTTTGGCACTTATATTATTTGACCTATTTGTGTTGCAAGTGACTTGAAAATTCACTAGCTTGGTGCTATTGAAAGGAAGGTAATAGGGTACAGAGATCATTTGTATTGTGGAGCTGGCTGGAAATGCTGTTTCAGGACCCAGATCTGCAGGTTTTGTCTTTACAAATGTTCCTGATTGCCACTTGGTGGACTAGTGTTTTATTTTGCTGTGAGTTTTGCCCTTCCTTGAGGAAACGTTGCTCCTGCTGTGCTGTTTGTTTGTTTGGTTTTTTTCTTGTTCAACATCTGAAAGTGTAGATGTGGCTGAGGTCAGGTTACCCCATTCGTTCATCGTCCGTCTACAGGGAAAGGCGTATTCGTGTTTTTCATCATTGGCGGGTGGCTGGAGGGCGCCACTGGTAGGTCCTACTTCTTTTCTGTCTGTATGTACGTCTCTTCTCTCAAACTCAAACCTGTTGTTGGACTCAGGGACTGCTGCCCATGTATCTGTCGAGTTTGTCATCATGTTTGTTGTTGGGTTTTTTCTCTTGTCAAGTAGCCACAGGTGAATAAATTGGGTTATGATTTCATGTTTGTTTGTGCGTTGCGTTGCTGGCTTACTGGTTCGCCTCTCCGAGTCTCAACATTATTAAGGTCATGGTTTCAAATATCGTCAGGGGCTTGATGTTTTGTCCTTGGGGAAAAGGCGCTTGACATGAATTTTCCTCACTTCACCACCGAGGCAGGAATTGGTACATAATGGCTATAGACGGCAAAAAATTTGTCATTTTGTTTTAGCTCATGTAATCTGCAGCTTGCACTGTATGCTTTCCTGGAAGCCAAAAATGCTTCTGAATGTTTCCGGGTCTGCTCGGGTAATTATGTTGTGAGGTGCATAGAGCGTGCTGGAAGGAGTGGATATGCACAATATAAATGCAATTATTATTATTATTATTATTAGCATAGATATTATAGAATTATTTTCATCCAGTGACCTCGACTCGTATGAACTTGCATGAAATTATGACTTTGTTGTTGGGTTTGGGTTTTTAGGGTTTTTGGTTTTTTAGTTGAAATTTGTATTTTCTGTAGTCATGCAGTTTTGTATAATATACTTTTACAATTTTAATGATATTGATTGGAAAATATATATATATAATATATATATTTAAAAAGCCACATTTGCCGGTGGTCAACTCCTGAATCCTCTGACTTGTGTTTGGGAAAATTACAACATCTTAAAATTTTTGCATTGCATTTCATGGCCCCCAGTCTTAAAAGTGAAAAAATCCTGTCTGGTGAAATACTTCATTGGGGACCTTTGATTGTGTGAAAGTTGATTATATGACCACAGATCTTCCAACCCTCCAACCCCTCTGTGACCAAAGAGGACTTCCCTTCAGAATCCTCCTTAAAAATCAGAGTTGGGGGTGTCAGATTACATGACGAACCAGTTAAGGCAAATTAACGTAGTGTGTGACTGATGGAAACATTTATGGAAATAAATGGAAAATTTTATGCAAATCTGATTGCGGTTCTTCTGTGAGAAGCAAAATAAAATTGTAGGGCTGGGATTTTGTCCGAGAACTTGTCCGGGCTGCTCTAAAAGAAGAGATGTAACATTGAATGTGAACAGTTTTAGAAGACAGGTCAGCGGGAAAGAGTCACATTTCTCTGCTTTGCATCGGATGTATCTGTCTGTTTTCTTGCTTTCTTCCGGCTGTAAATTTCTTATGAACCCGATGCCATTTCGTATAAAGGACAGCTTTGGGAGGTTGGCAGGTGCTGCTGGTGGATCACATTTCTCTCTCTCTCATGATTATCTTCTCATATTTTCTGTCACTTTGTCTTATTCATGCTCAAAATGAAATGAAATGACTCAATGTTTTGGCGTTTATGAACCCTGATTCATTATGTTCACAGTTACAGCTGATGCATATATTGCCCCTCCCCAATCCCTTGCCTCGTTTAAATTTTTGATTGTTTGTGATCCAGTCAATTAGCATTTGCCGCTACTCAGCGACTGACTTTTCCTTTACAGAAGAGTGAAGAGTTGGGTCGTGGTTCTCTGAAGTTAGCTGAAATCTTGGCGTACATGTAGATCGGCTGCGGAGCGTAAGACCTCGCCTAACGACTATACGCCATTTTGAAAAGTGACACCTGGTGTTGTCTTACTCTGAGCACTCGATATGCTGTTGGTTTTTTTTTAACATGCGTGCATTATGTCCTTATTGTAATTAAATCTCTGGTGTACCTTCCCCAATGATTTACTTAGGGAGAGACCTATCTGAAGTCTTGCTGTACACAATTTGTTCTTGAGATTATTGTCTTGTTGGAATGCCAGTGTCGCGTCGCTCCTGTACTGTACTGTAACTGACCTGTTTCTGTAAGTTGAGCCTACCAAATATGTACTTGAAAGTGTGCCATTAAAATGTCAGGTGAAAATTTTTGCGTGCATGAGTCTCTATATTTCTTTGTTTTATATTAATATTACAGTGCTTATTTTGATTTTTTTTTTTCAAGATGTTCTGAGATAAAAGCAACTTTTGGACAAAGCAAATGCGTGGGTGGTTGGCGGGCGCTCAGGTGTGAGTTGCTCCTTCTTTCTTATCAAGCATCTAGAATTCTTTTCTCTCCTCCTTTTTCTATGTATGTTACTCTCTGGCAACACCTTTTCTTTTCGTACTTAATGTGTTAACGCCACACCTGTTAATGGTGCAAGTGCTCTTACTAAAACTACAAGGTGGGTGGTTGGCGGGTGCTCTGGTGTGGTTTGCTCCTTCTTTCCTCTAAACAGCTATCGTCCTTATCTCTCCTCCTTCTTTTTTACGTTTGTTGTTACTCTCTTGTAACACCTCTAATCTTCGGCACTTATATGACCTTATTGTGTTGCAAGTGCCGTAAAACTCTTTACTAAAACTAAAACTACAAGGCAAATGCATCGCTCATTCACATTGCTAGTGGCTGGAGGGAACCCTGTTGTGCTTTGTGTAGAGATCATTTGATACAATGAAACTTTTTTTTTGTTCCCATTTTTCTCTTTTTTAAAAAGTTTTACACTTGTGAGGCTAGATCTAGTCTAGGTTTTGCACCGTCTCAACTCTGGAGACATTCAGGAAGTTTCTGTCTACTGTTACTAAAATATGTCTTTTTTTTCTTATACTTATATAGTATAGCATATTTAGAGCTGCAAACATGCTAAACAACAATTTCTCTCACACTCTCTAAAATATTCTTGTGTAAACTTTTGCATACATAATTAAAATGTCGTCCAAGCCTGCTTTTACCCATTTATAAAAAAAAATGTTTAATTATGCATTAAGCCCTGACCTTCGGAGGCTATCGTGCCCCCCCTCTGCCTGAGCTTCTGAGTGATATATTACTAACATTATATGATCGTCAGAATCACATTCCATATCCCACTCAGGGTAGTCCTTGTAATGTCAATACCAGCATCTTATTCAGAAAGATCTTCAAAATAATCAACGATGCCTTGTGTAATCCACGCAAACGCTGTTTTCCACCATTCGCGTTTTTGTCTCTGGCGGACCGGGTTGGGGATGGGGTCTCGCACACCGGTGTACCGTGTACCAGTGGCAAAGACCTATAACAAGTCAGTAACTGAAGAACCCACAACAAATTTACAAAGCTCGAGTATTTTTGATATTTTCAAAATTTATTTACAGAGCAATGGCATTCATAATTCATGTGCAAGAATAAGAACTAATACCATGAAGAAGACAGGCTTTACGTGTCCAAACCTCCAACCAGAACATGTATACCATGAAGACAGAACATAATTATATACTTTCTTCACTCAAAGAAACAGGATCCTTCTTTTCTTAAAATCCTGAATAAAAACAAACTACAGAGAAAAAATTGTCCAGGTCACACATAAAGGAATGTAACATTTCCAAATCTGACTGTACTGTAACATTTCCAAATCAAACTACACTCATTTTATTCTTGTTGTTATCGATCTAGCAACAGCTGTGCTCGCCCTTCTGTTCAATGCCATGTAGTTGTAGTGATAAGTGCAGGTTTAGTTTTGCTGCAGCTTCTGTAATTTATAATTAATGCATTTTATTCTTAAACTTCCACAGTAATGGAAAATCTAAAAACCTCTGTAAATATGATTTATAAAATATTTCTTTAAAAAAACCCAACTCAAACAGAATCCAGGGTATGACGGATGAGAATTTCTACTAGTGTTGTAAACAATTCCTCCATACTCTAAAACTACTAAAAGAATCTCCCTGCAGCCACTCCACGGCTTCCCTCTGGACCTCTGGCTAGAACCATGCCAATGTTCCCCTAAACTCCCTCACTGTACCCTGTAAAAATACAACACGGGCAAAGTCCAAATAAAAAAACAGGTAAAACTCATTTCTTAATCCTTAATACGCATCAGGGTCAATGAAATTTTCAGCTCATTACAGCACAGCCTACTTTACTTGCTTTTTAACTTTTAAAGTAAAAACAATATCAAGTTGGACCAACACAGAAAGAGGAGACCTTCACCTTCAGGGCTTGGACGTAGACACAAAACTTGGACATTTAAAAATTGTATCAGTATCAGTTGCAAGGGCTAAAAAACATAAGAAAAAACCCCCGATGATGTCAGTACACGTACAACTGTTGAAAAAATGGAAGTTTCTTTTCTCTCTCTCTCGTGAAGAAATTCTATTTCTGGTCTTGGAAAAGTTGAACAGCTTGCCCAAGATATGAACCATTTCAAGGTCTCACATTTGTAGCCAACTATATGAGTGTGCTCCATGATCAGTTGTCATTGGTAGTTTTGTGCACCTATCTTGGATGGGAGGGTGTAATAGTAATACATATTGTACAGCAAATTGCAGCGATAGACCTTCCCGTACTCATCGTAGCTTGCTTACCCCATACTCACTGTTTTTCCCTGTATTCACAGTTTTCCCCTACTCACTGTTTTCCTATAACTATAATGTACTCATTGTTTCCCCTACTCACAGTTTTCCTATAACTATAATGTACTCATTGTTTCCCCTACTCACTGTTTTCCTATAACTATAATGTACTCATTGTTTCCCCTACTCACTGTTTTCCTATAACTATAATGCACTCATTGTTTCCCCATCTCACTGTTTTTCCCTGTATTCACAGTTTTCCCCATACTCCCTGTTTTCCTATAATTATGTACTCATTGTTTCCCCTACTCACTGTTTCCCCATACTCACTGTTTTTCCCTGTATTCACAGTTTTCCACTACTCACCGTTTTCCTATAATGTACTCACTGTTTTCCCGTATTCACTGTACAATACTTTTTTCTTTGCCCATGTACCAGCCTGGGTTACAAGACAAGACACTTGAACTTGAACAACTGCACGGACAAATATTCTGAGGGGCCAACATCACAAAACCTACTCACACCTCTCAGTCAAACATCAACTCACTTGATTAAAATTAAATCTTACAAATGATTAGATCTACTCCAGTTTACATCACGGCATTGTATGAAACTCAACCAGTCAGGAAAATTGCTTCAAACAGCCGACAGTAAAATAAATGCATTGATAAAACAAAAAAATGAATAAAAGCACGTATGACAGACTCAAATTCACAAAGCCACTCCATTAAGTTGCACAACATAGACTCGATTAAAATAATCGTTTGCAGAATTTCCTCAGTTTCTACACACTCCACCTTTCACCTCCGTCTAACTCTACCCACACGATCACCTCCGTCTAACTCTTGACCACTGAACACACTCCACAAGTTCACCTCGGTCTAACTCCACTCCACACGTCCACCTCCATCTAACTCTGACCACTGAAGGCACTGAGGACTTGCAGTTCACAGGGCATCAACAACACAAAGCTATTCTGACGATTGATCAATAACTTGTAGAAATATTTCCTAAAATGCAATGAAAAAAAATTCACATATATTCCATTAATCTAGTACATTTTCAAAGCAAATTATGAAAAAAAGAAAAAAATTACAAAGCGAACTTATCAGCACAATCAAAAAAATGTTCCCATCACCTCACTGAGCGGACACATTGGAAACATGAACAGCGTGTGTTATATTTATACCTCTATGACTCTACGTACACAGTTTATTTCAGGGGGTGGTAGTGGTGGCAAGCTGTCCACCAAGCTGACCAAAGAACACGCACCTGCCCAGCCAGACACATCAATGTACACCTGCCCAGCCAGACACATCAGTGAACACATGCCCAGCCAGACACATCAATGTACACCTGACCAGCCAGACACATCAATGTACACCTGCCCAGCCAGACACATCAATGAACACCTGCCCAGCCAGAAAACATCAAATTCAAAGTGAGACCCTGACTAGCCGTTTATCTTTCTTCACCACACAGCTGGGGATAAGTGTAACCTACCTGTGTTCCCACTAAGACAAAGATGACATTTCTAATTCAAAGTTTCCAAAGACATATAATATATGCATGTGTGCAACTTCACCACAAAGATCTGCTGAGCGCAAACAGAAATCAGTCAAGAATTTCACCTTTCTGTCATACCCAATGGTTTGTACTCACAGACAGTCAAAATGTTCCCAGATTGAGAAGTATTGTATCGTGAAGAAAGCACTTGGTGCGCGACTCTCGGCAACTCTCCACAACACATGGTCACACAGCAAGAGAACATCGTCACACCACGGCCCCGCAGCACAACACTTCCAACAAACAGACAATGTCACTAACTTAACAGTAACCATGAAAAGGAAAAAAAAATTAAAGGAAAGTTGTCCGTATAATCATGTAGGCCTATATACCATGACCTACAATACAAAAAAAAAATATACTGTATACATATTTTACACTTAGTGACAGAACTGAACCTCCTACAACAGGATGACAACTGTGTCAGGAAAAGATGAACAAGAATTCGAAACAACATTTTTTATAATGCCCACTACTCCTCAAATAACATTTGCCTCATCTGAAGGCTCTCGTTTCTCTCAAACTGAACATCAAAAATAATCACACTTTTATTAATTAAGCCATTTCACAAGATATTCTTCTGCGTTAGAAGTGTAATTCTAGACATGGCTAGTTTATTTCGGTTTTTTTTAATGCAGGTGTTTTTTACACCCCTATCAATACAATCTGCTTGTCAAGACTATCCCAGGCTAAGAGAGATTCAACATACCAGCAGAAAAATTTTGATACTCAATAAAATTTCTCCCCATACGAAAATTGGAACTTGGGTCTTCTGCGGTCAACGGCGAGGCGCCTTACCACTACACAACAGACACCCACTGCTCTTGTTCAGTTTCAAGCTGGATGTAGCAGAGACTTTCAAACTGGAAAAACTCAAAATTTAGAAACAGAAATTGAAAAGCCCACAACTCGTGTATTTTTCCAGAAAGTGGAAGGCAGCCACAACTTGGGACTTGACAGTCAACCACACAACCCTCATGTCCAGCCACTTGGAAAAGACGCAACCACCGCATGAAAAAAACATTTCAACAGGACAAAATTGCTCGAAAAAAATGAGTCACAACTTGTTATATACGACAGCCTTCACTGAATCGCACTTGTCCAAGAGACAGTCACAAAGAGTTGTTTCCTTCTTCCTCCACCATGCTCTACTTCCTGCGAGTCAAGGTGAGATGAGCTCAGATTCATGCATTCACAAGAGCAACATGTTTAAGTTAATTCCACTACTTCTTATTAACATTACAAAAATACACTCAACAGTAAAGGTATAACACACAGTATTGCAATGTGAACCTACCATCAAGTGAACATGACACATCCTTTTAATTCTAAAAATACTTCAAAATTCACAGGTACATTTTTTTTCTCACAAATGTCCACGAAAAAAAAAGAGAGAAAGACAGTGGCATTTCGTCACTTGCACAATTCACACATGGACGTCTTTAGTGTTGTACATGCCCGTTTTGCTTTTTTTTTCGAAACATAACAGCTTCTTACACAACGTCAAAATATAGCCTTCATCCCATGCCTGTTTGAACCCAGGTAAACCTAGGAGAGAGTGTTCAGAATCCCTTGAGGCAGAAAAAAAAGGAAAGGAAGAAGCTGTAAAAAAGCACCTTTAGTTGAAACTGAATTTGAGTGACTGGTGGCACTAAGAAATGCCTCTTGATGTGGTATATATTACCACAACAGAAGTCTATACCGATGATCATGTTTTGAGCAATATGCTTTTTCAGCGAGAAAAAGTTCAAAAGACCTCAGTAAGACATATTTTCAAGAAATGGGAACAACAACAAAAATCCAAACATGCGGTTAAAACCGACTGTTTCGATACAATATAAAATGTAAAGCACATATAGTTTGTTGATGAGCGGGCATAAGGGTTCTACGACTGCTTTTTATTTATTTCTCATACAATAGGGATGTGATACTTGAGAAACTCCTCACAACAAGGATGAGAAACCCTCACTGCTGGCTCCCAGCCTAGCCTGTCTCAACCGCATTATGATGCGAGAATTGGGACAGTCTGCTGTTCCAAAACCTTACAAACCTGTGGTAAATGTCACTCCAGTAACCCCGAAACCAGATCCCACATTCTGCTACAAGCCCAAAGTATTTTTCCATAAAAAACAAAGAGATTCGAAGAAGCAAACAGTCCCCGCACTACTAGACTCCGGTCACATTACATGACTGCTTCTAACTCTGTCTCAGTACCTTTCACCAAACAATAGCTTTTACCCCAAACTTCTATTTACTCCCAGCTAAATCTTCCACTTATCTCCCTCAAACACACAGAACATCTTTCACTACAACTCTAGTCTGGAAGAAGTTCCCAGGAGCCAGCAAGTTGAGGGTTGACGAACATCTCAAACGCTTTCAAAGTATCCACTGTAGGCCTTACATCCCCGACACACATCAACCAATGCGGCTACAAGCTGACACAACAGACATGAACTTCAGTAAACAGCTGACAGATACATGAACGTCTTGATTCACCTTATGTACATTAGCATGTTCCCATGATGCTCCATCAAAAAAACTTGCTCACAAAAATATGGGTTTTCTGTACAAACATGATCACAGTTCAACCTCCAACGTTCTGACCAGTACGTCCCTCCTCCTCTCTTCCCAATGAACTTGTTTTAAAAACATATCCTCAGACACACAAAACTTTGCACACATTCACTCATGAACTCTTTTGCTCTCTCTCTCTCCTCACCCTCCCCGCCCCCTTCTCTCTCTCTCTCTCCTTCACTCTCTTTCCCCTCTCCCCTATCACTCTCTCTCTCTCTACTTCACTTCACACACACATACGCTACAATCCTAACGCCCCCTCACCGTCCCCACTCCCCAGCCCTGCTGCCCATACCCAGCACTATATCGTCTCCACCACATTTGTGAGCACGTGTTTGACCACGAAGGCAAACGCGGCAAACCCGACAATGACCAGCACGTTCGTCATTGTGCCCCTCAGGTAGCGCCGCGGGCCGCCAATGTTCAGATTTCCGTCGTTCTGAGCGGCGGCGTTGTTGTCCCCATTGATCTCGCTGTTGCTGGAGGTGTTCATTGACTCGGTCGACTTCTTCAGTTCCTCCGCTTGCTTCTGGAGCTGCCTGCGGATTTTCTGATAAAAACAAAACCAGCAAAAGTAAAGTTGAGGTTCTGCTGTTTCTGGATTCTGCTTTTCTGATAAAAACAACAGCAAAAGTAACATTATGACTCTGTAATTTCTAAAGTGCTCTTTGGATCTTTAGTTTTAGCCTTTGTACGAATTTTACGGCATTTGCTTCATGATTAGGTCATGTAAGTGCCGAAGATATGAGGTGTTACGTGCTACTAGAGAGCAACATACAAAGAAAAGGAAAGGAAATAATTACAAGAGATTTTTTACAGGAAAAAGGAGCTTTTAGTTATTAGTTTTAGTAAGAGTTTCACGGCACTTGCAACACAATAAGGTCACATAAGTGTCGAAGATTAGAAGTGTTACAAGAGAGTAGCAAATACAAAAAAAGGGGGAGAGATAAGGACGAAAGATGTTTAATAGGAAAGAAGGAGCAAACCACACCAGAGCACCCGCCAACCACCCACAGGAAGGCGCAAACCACACCAGAGCACCTGCCTACCACCCATACTTGAAGAGTCATGAACACACAACAGAGTGAAACCATCAATTATTTTTGTTTACACTTACAGCACACAACATGTTCTGGCAGGGGCATGCCTCACACAGAACATGACCTCAAACACACTGGTCTATTGTATCAGAACAGATCCAAATGTTTGATCAACAGCAAAAACATACAACGAGAATATTTCACCGGACAGAACCTCTACAAAGCCATCTCTTTTTTGACTATGATATAGATTCAGGTCAAACAGGTCAACTCAATAAATAGGTTGTGGCCCAGCTGGAAGTAATAGGCCTCCTTTTATTTAATGAGATGCCTTAAGTGACATATGATATAGTCTCGGTTTTAGTCTCACTTCTGAGAGCTTTGGTAGTTCAGCTCATTTCATCTAATTGTCTCCTGCTTTGCCCCCCCCCCCCCCGTCTTTCCGAGATGTAGCAATGTAGCAAACCCTGCCATTCCACCCAGCACAGGAGCGTGCACACCAGGATGGGTGTACTTAATGACCCGAAATTTCATTTTTCTGGCAGTTACGAAGAACTTACCTCTGCGACATCTGGGAAAAGCTCACAGAAAGTTTTGTTGTTGAGGTTGAACGCACCACTCTGAGCAGCCAGCTGCCGTTTCTGGTGAAAGACCAAGGTCATCGAGGTCAACAGTAGTCAAGTCAAATGACTGGAAAAACCAAACTGACTTCACATATATCACAAACATAAAAGTATTACAACAGCAACAGAAAAAGCACACTGGAAAAAGATGAACGAACTCTAGAGAGTATAAGAAAGTAGGAACAGTTCCAATGAGATGACCCCAAAAAATGTAAATTACATGAGGAAAATATAACACAATGTTCTTATCAAAGAGAGAAGAAACATAGTTGGGGTTTCTCAAAAAGTACTTTCATCAGTTTCATTGGGAATTTGTGAAATTAAACTCAAACGATATTACAAAATCAACAGAAAGAGGAAAAGTGGCAATTGTAGCAAAGGAATGTAAAAAGAGAAAGAACAGAAACACCAGAGTAGATTAACACTTTGCCCCCACGGGACACCAATCGGCAACGGTAAGAAGCCGTCTCTTTTCCCCATGGGACGCCAATCGGCGATGGTGTGATATAGCGTGTACCATATCTGTATCCCGGTCCGCGGGATAAGTGTTGCGCGCTCTGCGTGCTGCGTGGGTGGATAGTGTTAAAGAGTGAGAAAAGTGACTAGGAAAAAGGAGAACACATAATAATAGGGCAAAAGTCAATCCAACAGGCACAACCATGAACAAAATTTGTTCATGGCTGTGCCTGTTGGATTGACTTTTGCCCTATTTAATGCAAATCACTATAGGAAATCATGCTATGTGATATCAATATCATAAATTACCGCCACCAAGGGTACAATGAACAGCAAGATGACAGGAAGAAACGAAAAAATGAAATATTTAAAAAGAGTCCTATAGCTTCCCATCAGAGAATGTAGCAGCTGACTATGTGAACATTTAGTATTTAGACAAACACGCATAACAAAAGTGTAACACAGAAACTAATCCCAACTTACGGTGTACAAACTTGTCTCAATGCTCCCAAGTGTTGGACTTCTCTCCAGCTGAGAAAAAAAAAACGAACGCACATAATTAAAACATGGTCAGGATAAAGTGATGGATTAGTCCAGTATCTCTTCTAATCAAAAACCCTCATGCTTTTGAAAAACTCTGATTGGCATCTTTAAAAAATATTCCATCTCAGTCCCTTACAATTCTAAATTATTGAGTCACTCTTTCTTCATGTCCAAGATCTGAAACAGAAATTGACCATCGTCCACTCAGTGACAATGCGCTGTTTGAGTGCTCTCCGGAACAAATACAACTTTATCCAGATCTTTCCCTGTCACTCATCAGTCCAAGTTCTTTTGCCCTTGTTTTTCCTCTCTTTCTTCGATGCAGATAAGCCAGAGCTCCTAAGTACCAAGTGGCCTAGGGCAGAACTAGAGCTCCTCAGTACAAAGTTAGAGCAGAACTAGATCTCCTCAGTACAAAGTTAGAGCAGAACTCACCATAAAGCTAAGCAGTCCCGTGAGTATGGTGGACACTGACCATGCGGGGTTCCACGTGTCGGGATGGAAGTCGCTGATGGACAGGCACAGTCTGCAGAACAACAAGCCAGGAAATGTTTGTCATTTGGGTCTTTTTTAGCAAGAGTTAACTTTTACAAAAGAATCACTTCTGAAGACTTTTTAAAAAATTAACTGTTTGAACCAGTTCAAACTAATGCACAAATATTTTGTAAGTGGGAAAAATTTATTGACTTTATACATCAAAGATGTGGGAGGGGCCAGCAATACAAATGTACTGAAACAAGAAATACTGGGTTTAATATCATGACAGGAAGAGAAAGGGAGGGAAAAAACTAAACCGGCAGCACCTTGATGATAATAAACATATTACACAATCACACACATTACTCAAGGTCTGAAATTCAAAGACAGACTGGACAGAGCATATCAATGTAATACAGTAGAAACTGTCAGAGACAGCCAACCATTGTTGAGGAGGAACGTGGCCGCCAAAGACAGGTTGCCATCTTACACAGTGCTGTTATCATGTAAAAAATCTGCAAAGGAGGAAATAGGAAGTGGCGTTTGTACAGGTGATTGTCATACATACAAAGGGCTGTTAGAGCAGGTTCAATTGTACTTCTTCACGACATCTGACGTGTGACAAAGACAAAACATCAACAAAACTCTAAGACGACTGAGTACCTGCTGTTGCACATAAATCTTCCATTTGGTGTGAGCATGTAGATGCTAGGGGGCTTGAAAGGAAATTCCCTTGGAAACACCAGCTTGCCATGGTATATTCCTCCTGAGAAGACATAAAAGACAGAACAATTTTATAAAAACGTTGATTTGAACAAATAAATTTGTGCCATGTCTGGGCAAAAATGTACAGGCTTCCTCCGATATAAATAAAACGGATTGTCATTTCAAGGTTTGAACAAAAATACTTTAAAAATTTTAAGATGAAGGAAACCTTGGCCTTTTGCTGCTCCACATGGCTTGGCGTGCCTGTTGAATTCTTTCTACTTTCAGACTTTTAAGAGAAGAACAAAATAAAGACTCCTCCCTCCTCCTGGACACGCAGTTCGATGTCCCCAGCAGTGATGTCAGTCGCTCTGTACTCGTTGATGACACTCTCCAGGTAGGTATAGGATGGGGTATCAGATTCCAGATCTTCTAGGTAAGTGTTCCTTCCACCGTGACAGGAGTTACTTCTTGTATGTTATCAATAAGATTTGATGTGCAGCACCATGCCAGTTTCATCTTTCTATTTGTGTGTATAATCACTCAAAACTTCATAAAATTAACCTTGCAATACAAATACTTGACATAAACAAAGGGCTATATATTGAAGACAGTCAGTTCTTAAGAGAGGGGGTAAAAGCCATACCTTCATAAGGAGAGTTCTCCGGTCCTTCAACAATGTAGTGCCTGAATAAAATAAAACAAATGAAAATATGTCACTGCTTGGATACTATACTTGCAAAAATTACAACACACAGTACAATATAAAAAGAAAATGTATGCCTGCACTGCCCATGCAACGGTAATTAAACTGATAAATATGCACTTAAAGGTTTACAAAGAGTTATTTTGCTGCTTAACATTTTTCGGATAAAAAGATCAGAACAAATACACTGTGCAATAGTCGTAAAAAAGAAATGAAAGGAGGGCCATAGAGCACAGAGCACTGAGATTAAACAGAAAATTCATGTCTTCAACACAAAGCCCTCAGTAAACTGGCTCCCACAATTCTGTTGCTAACAAATGCAAGCAGGTCCTTGATATACATGTCTCCCTTCCTGACATACAGCATTTAGCCTGGTGATTAAGACTTGAAAGTTTGGAGGTTTAATCTCAGGGCAGCAACCTATCTAACAGTCTCATTGGGGGGGGAGGGTGTTAATCTAAGAGCAGTAGTAGCCTTCAGTCCCATTGGGGGTTAATCTAAGGGCCGTAGCCTATCTCTCTCATTGAGGGGTTCATCTAAGGGCAGTAGCCTATCAGTCTCATTAAAATATTAAATGAACTTTCCGTCTTGACCAGTAAGTTCCCTAAATGACACTTCCATCTTTGCTCATTTTCATTTCAAAAAGACAGTCATCCATATAACAAAACAAAAAGCAAAGGCATTTAAACTAAGTATACCACTCAAGTGAATAGGTCTGGGGTTGGTTAGTCAGAGCTCAGAGTTAATGTAACAGGTTTGAGACCTCATTGGCTCCATATATCATAATATATGTTATAGTCATTGTACTCTGTTAATGTGGAGATGTTTAGTGCACTTGGTACTCTTTTATTATCTGTCGAACTTGGGGTTGCAGCCAATGACTGACTTCAACAAATTTGATCAAATTTTAAACAACCACCGTTTTCTTAAAAATTGCATGAGAGGTTAAAGAATGGTACCAAAAATGCTCAGGAGATATGGGCCTTTCATATGGAACAGATAAATTTGGCATACAGCTACTTTGAAAATTTAGTTTCTGGTACCTACTCTGAGCACTGTATTTTATCGCCTCAAAATGGATGATCTGTCGTTATTTCGACAAAAACACCGAGCGTTGACCCGGCCTGCACCGCACCGGCCCCTGCTGTGAGCGAGTAGGCTCTACACTGTACTGTACTCTGCGTGGGGGGTCACATGCATTCCGAATTTCGCGGAAGGATTGATGCAAAATAATTCCAAGCTGATTACTTTAATCTAATAGGAAATGAAATGACCTTTCTATTGGAATTTTTTTGAGCCGGTATTTTACATATTTCAGGTTAAAAAATTATCTTTGAAAATTTTGACTGTATTTTTAAAGCCTTTCTATTTAAACGCCAAAGACCAAAAATATACCACGGGAAAGCCCGTTCAAAGCTCTACAGTTCTCCGCAAATGAAAAGACGGTATTTAATCATCCATCTTTCTGCGGAGCATTTGAATGCACGCATGTAAATTTTTTAACCGGCCAACCACGCATTCCGACCGGGAGGGGCTTCACTTTCCTCGGCGATTCTCCAGCTCCTAATAATCGGACATATAAACAACTTACACCATTGTAACGAAGAAAAGCTGAACTTTTACAAGGTGTACAGCATTTGGTGTTTTATAGCGAAAGAGCAAAGAAACAGTAATCCGAATTACCCTGATTTCACCGATACCACGTGCTCGTAAGGCCGCGAGTGCCAGCGAGGCCATGTTTACACTACCTACTCAGAGTGAACAGGTCTGAGTTTGGTTAGGTCACAGATCAAGATAGATTTACTTGGGACAGGCTAGGGTAGCATGATAGTGGGATACCGTTAAAAAAACTGTATTTTTCGTTTAAAGTAGTTTTTTTATGCCCCCATCAACAAAAATTTAGACCATTTAGGAACCGCTACACCATAGATGTCAGTGGGTTATTTGAGTTTAGGTAAAAGAATAACAGAGTGGAGACTCCTTCAGTGGCAAAAAATGTTATTGCTTCACTTTTGATATACTATACAAACTTACCATTCTAAAATATTTGAGGGCACTGGGGCGGCTTGGATGTAAGGCACAGGGTCTTTCATAATCCTCATGAAATCTTGCTTCAGTCTGGCTGTTGCAGTGGAATTTACTTTTTTGGATGCCATCTGAAACACAATATAATATTAGATCTATATATAAACATCAACTACTTTTTATAGGCATTAGTCATTAGAAAATCCAACCGGTACTAAGCAATACTTGAGAATTTGATCAAAAACAAAGTCAAAGGTGTCTATTCTGATCACAAATCATCTGAATAACAAATATTTATCATATATCAAAATCACTATAATATAATCAGACCTTTCCCAAACTAGAACTTTGCTACCAGACTCAGACTAACCTGGACTAGGACCAGGGGTGGGAAGGACTTGGGGAGGTCTTCCGTAACGAGCAACCACCCACCACCTCAACAAACACGATAAAGAAGAGACCTAACCCTAACCCAAACTTTACCCCTAGCCCTCTATTCTACTCTGTCTCATAGTGGTCGCTCATTACGGAAGTCCTCCCCTGCCCTAGGGTGATTAGTAGGCTGATTAGGCTTTCTAGTCTTGGCATGCTGCAAATCATCAAATTCAAATGCAATATGGTGAGTTTGTATGCCAAAAATGACTGACTAGACCATCCTAAATCAAGCTAGTAAAAATCATACGTGACATTCTGATGTCTATAAATTGAAAACACAATAGTTTGGCCCACTGTACAGCACTCTTCTACAAGTCAACACACTGTCAGCAGATCACTGATTTTGTCTTTGTATAAAGTTTGTCTCTGACTCTGACTGCTGTGATTTCTTTCTTCTTACAAACTTTTGTTTGACTGCAGTAGGTGGCTCTGTAAAGAAAAAAGGGTACAAGTCGTCATCATGATGTTGACGCCCTTACATGAACAGTTAGAATTACCTTCAACAATATTTAGCTTGAGGGGAAATATCTTTCCCGTGAAGTTGATGTAAACACAAACCAACACGACCGCTGACGAATCCGGAAGTAGAATTTGTCAAGCTGGCTCTATTTATAGCCTTTGATGAGGCTTTTCCCGGACAAATGTAACATCGCTTTTTTTTCTTGAAAGTTCGCTTCTATCTTATCTCGGATAATAATTTTGTAATTAAATATTATCGACTCCCATTCAGCGCCACTTTAGTATGGTTAATTGAGCAATAAAAAAGAAAGAAGGAAAGAAAGAAAAAAAGAGAAAAAACACAACTTAAACCTATTTTAACTCTCTCTCTCTCTCTCTCTCTCTCTCTCTCTCTCTCTCTCTCTCTCTCTGTCTCTCTCTCTGTCTCTCTCTCTCTGTTTCTCTCTCTCTGTCACTCTCTCTGTCTCTCTGTCTCTCTCTGTCTCTCTCTGTCTCTCTGTCTGTCTGTCTGTCTGTCTCTCTCTCTCTCTCTCTCTCTCTCTCTCTCTCTCTCTCTCTCTCTCTCTCTCCCTCTCTCTCTCTCTCTCTCTCTCTCTCTCTCTCTCTCTCTCTCTCTCTCTCTCTCTCTCTCTCTCTCTCTCTCTCTCTCTCGGTCTATCTATCTATCTATATATTTTTTTAAAAATATACATACATGTATATATATATATCATCTCTCTTATAATTCATTCGTCTTTCTGTTCAATTATTTGTTTATCTTATTTGTACTAGGTGATAGATCTTATATGTCGTTGACTTTTTAATGTTCAGTTGTGACCAGAGGTTGTAAGCAACGGTGAGGACGAAGGGGGAATCTTCAGCCCGCCCACAACTAACTTCTAGTTTTCCAAGCATCCAGAAACTAAAGCAAACTTTATTATCGGCTTCAAAAGATTTCAGATCAGGAACACGACCATGTAGGCATATTAGAAGTTTCATTCTTACAAATTCTAAGGTCCTTGACTGCAAGACAATGTTTATTATACGTGTTTTTTGGCGTAATGGATTGGACACACCCTGAGGAGACCCCCGACAAGCATCACCAGGCAGACTTTAACGTGGAACCCACGAGGAAAACGTAAGAAGGAAGACCAAAGATGACATGCGAGCGGTACAAGCGGAAATTGAAAAAGTGGGGACATCGTGGAAAAAGAGATAGAAAAGGATGCAGGACAGGCTTCGCTGGAGTAATTGTAATGCTGTTGATGGCCTGTGCTCCACTTGGAGTTAAAAAGGGCAAGAGAGAGAGAGAGAGAGAGAGAGAGAGAGAGAGAGAGAGAGAGAGAGAGAGAGAGAGAGAGAGAGAGAGGGAGACCAGACCAGACCATCAATGATTTATTTTTATAGAGGCACCAGCCATCCAATTCCAGGTGCTGTTTTAGCCTCTTTTTCCTGTATTCGGATTAATAAGAGAGAGAGAGAGAGAGAGAGAGAGGGGGGGGGAGAGTTCTTGGGGTTCTCGGTCTCGATTGCGACCATGGAATTTAGAATTTTATTGATTGCCACTCTCTGCCAAGGAGCTCAGATTAGAACAAACCACAGAATTCTGTGGAACAAACTGTAAACTCCTTGCTCTCTGCACTAATCAGAGTTATGTCCCTTGTCCGTCGCCATCTTGAATCCAGTATAAACAATAACGTAGTGACTGACACAGTATCTATTTTTTGGAGAACGTCTTGTTGGAGTTACAGTTGCAATACTCTCTTTTAGAGTAGCTACGAACGGTGAGTTTGATCGAACCTAAACCAGATTGTGTTCGTGAATGCTACTCTATTTTTAACAATATATGTTGCCTCCCAATTCAGAATGATTCAATCAAATTATGTCAGTAGTCAGTAGCAGGGCAGATCGAAGTCAAGAAATAAAATGCACATACCTATATTATATAAGATCTAGATCTAGATCTAGATTATATCCTAGATCTATATATTGCCTTCATCGAGAGTGTCGAGACAAGACATAATACATTTTTTTAATATATAAAGGAGTGTATCGGGAATTAAATGAAGCTTTTTATATACCTCGAAATGTGGCAAACTATTTTCGGCCTGAAATTGTTTCATTTTCATCTACCATAGCCTATCATAGCAGAAACCTAGATCTAGATTCTAACCCTAATTATTTCTTCTATTTCGTCTACAGCAAATTTAATGAATGCATTGGTCATCATCTGAGCTCTGACGAGCGAACTATTAATTATTATTATATCTAGTTCCTGTCATTCTTCTTCTTGTCATTATTACTATTATTATTTAATTATGCCATTATAAATAGGCTACTTCTTAAAAAATCATCTTCATTATCTTGTTTTCCTTTCAGCTAATTGACAATGTGGCAGTATTTATGGGCTCATGCTATTTTCCATCTGGTCAGATGGTTCCCTCCAAGCAACAGGGTGAAAATGTAAGAATTTAATCTTTGTTTATTTAAATTCTACTCCAATTCTTATCAAGTGTAGGCTAATTCTTGTCACTGTTGCAGTAGATAATTCAGGCACACTGCTATCTAGATACAATATTATATTACTTTTTAAAGCTTCATGTATCATATACTAATTGTTACAGTATCTCAGCTTTTCTCAGATATGTACTACGTACCATATGTTCAGTCTCCCAACATTTTTAGGGATCCTTTTAAATATTTATGTAGAAAAAAAAATTTTCTTGCCTTTTATAGCTACTGATTACAGTGGAAACCTGATATAACAGTATGGTGGGAGTAGAGAAAATGTCCTGTTATGTCCGATCCCTGTTAAATCAGAAATGCAAGGAAAGTATGCATTTGTGGACTAATCCAGCTGTAGTTATTCATGGGTAGTTTCCTTTGCCACAAGTACCCACGAACAGGGGTTTTGGCACCAACTTTCTCCTAGCCTCCTTAAACCACATCAGAAGAGCTTGGTCCACAGCATCTGCATCGGGTAGTCTCATCTTCTTTCGATCCAGAGCAAACTTTCCTTTAGGGTATGCTGCCACTATCTTCTCTCTATCCTTGACAATGGTGTGAATCGACCTTTGTGGAATGTCGAACTGACGACAAATCTCTGCCAGTGGAGCTTGCTTTTTGTCAAGAGCCTGGATTATTTCGGGATTTTTTTGGTCAATTGAAAGACATTTTCTCTTGCGCTTGACTTCGTAGGTGACAGTAGACACATTACGCGTGCGTGTTGCTAGGTTTCGGGCTAGATCGAAGTCTGCAGCACACTGCAGCCCTCTCTCGCTTCACACGTTGCATGTGCTTGCAGTGGCATGGCTTGCATAGGCTTGCTCCATCACTGCTTTACTCTCTCTCTCTCTCTCTCTCTCTGTCTCTCTGTCTCTCTGTCTCTCTCTCTCTCTCTCTCTCTCTCTCTCTCTCTCTCTCTCTCTCTCTCTTACTTTTTACACATTGTTAGCAAGCCTTTGTCCCTGCTATAACCGGTTGGGCTCCGATGGGGCCCTGTTATTGCCGATAACTTTTAATAGAGACGAAGAGTAGGAAAAAACGGGGATTTAAAAAATCCCTGTTATTACCGGATCCCTGCTATTACCGGGCCTGTTATATATGGTTTCCACTGTACGTTCTTGGTTTTCAAAACTCAAAACTGATTTTATAAAAATGATTTGATGAGGTATCATTTCCATATGCCCTAGTGAGAATGCATGACTTTGCATGGGCTTTAAATTGTTTCTCAACATTTTGATTTTGATGCAATATATTTAACAAAATTTGACTCCCCTCAGCTTTAAGTTTTGGGGTTTTAATACTTTGCGGTCACTGCGCAATAATGCGTTGGTGAAAATTATCCATTCCTGTCACCTGGCGCAGAACTGTGCCAGGCCCAAGAAGTCTGTTGCAGTCACTCCTCCTGGCTAGGAGACCGGATGGGGTATTTTGTACTGCTGGCTGTGTGACTGCAATGTGTTAAAAATGTTTTTTGTTGTTTATGTTTCTATTATTCCCTATTTTCGAAGAGGGTTTGACACCTAAATGGTATGTTGAGCTTAATTTTGCGTTTTTAATGTACTCTATTTCTGAAAACTTGTATTATACTTCCTAGATGTCACACATGCATAATTATTGTGTTTTACTTCTTGTTAGTTCATAACTTAAATTGTTTTTTAATGATCTGAACATTTAACAAAAATATAGGTGAGCCCAATTTGCCTCAATCTTCCTCCTTCACACTCGTAGTCGTAGAATATTGTGAAACTGGAACAGTCAGAAAACTCTTTTATGCCAAGGGGGAAATCGGTGATATAGCTGTAATTGCATTTCATTTGCCTTAACACATTTGTGACTTTTCTTGTCACTGATTATCTTGTTTGGGGTTTTTGTAAAATTATAGAAAAGCTCTCATGATGAATTGTGAGGCTGCATGGTGAAATCAGGTGCTCGTCCAAATAATGAAAGTCAAGAAACTGGCATTTTTCCGCAGGTTTGGAAATTTTTATCAAATTTTTTGTTTTTTGGCTCAGCACCAATTTCCTGCCTATTAGAACACATTTCTGTGTGGATTTTACTGAAAAGCGTTGATTAAAGGCGTAAAAGATGTTAACTTTCAGTTTCCATGGATTCTAGTCAAGGTAAGGAAATGACTCATCTTTGGCAGCCATTTTCCCACTAATTTTACCTCTGAATCCAAGTGACCCCCACCTCCTTCAATTGCCAATTTCTTGACTTGGATCCACGATAAATGGATATTTTTTTCATCAAAAGCAAGGCAAATGGACAGGCTTTAAGATGATACCAATAACTCTGTATGCCTCAAAATTGACGAGCGCCTGATTCCACCGCGTCGTGACACTATTGAAGATGAATTTCACTGTATTTATTTTTAATGATTCACGCTTTGCATATAAAGAGCAAATTATTTATTCCCTCCTTCTTAACCCAGTGATAAAAAAAAATGACAATGTGTTAGCCATGAAAAAAATTACATGTAGGGCCTATTACTTATACCATTTCATTTTGCAAACTTTGTTTAAGAACAAAAAATATTTGTAAAATGTCCTGATATTTGTGTTATTTATAATTTATTATGCGGTTGCTCCTTTAAGTTAATGGACCCATGGCTTTAAACACTGAATAAAATACCTAACTATCTACACTGAATAGAATATCAACTTAACTACCTATCTACCTACACTGAATAAAATAGTAACCTAGCGACCTGTATAATGGAAACGGCTGGTTCTGTCCCCAGCACGGTGGTGGCGGTGTTTGCGACGTTGTGTCTGCTGATACCCCAGTTCTACGTGCTGCTGCAGGACAAGACGACCAGATGGTGTCCCGAACCTTTGATGCCCCTGCTCATCACGTCAATCATTTTCACATTCTTCGTCATTGGTAGTGTGACTGCTTTCCTTCAGTTTTTCTGCTCTTTGTATCAACAATCATGTCATGGAACTCCGTTAGATTTGCTTTTGAAAAAATTCTGTCCTTCTCAGTGATTATGTTTTTTATAATTAGGTGCTGACCCACTATGGCCTCTCTTTGGGTTTTTACTGTGTTTTAAAAAAACTTACATGTTTTTGTCCTTCAATTATTTCTCCATAGTTTATCACAGTATGTCAAAACTTATCTGGTAATTTGTTTGTGTTTGTGTCGATTGAGGCGTAAAAACACTTACATTTTTGTTCTCTAATTGGGCATTCTCAAAGTAGAAAAAGTAATGAGAGCTTTGTAATATATTTTGTTTTAACAACCCCGCTCCTGAAGCAAGTGACTCTCACTGTGCTGTATTGACTGACAATGTGAATAATACAGGGCACCAACAGATCCTCAAAAGGATGGTCAGTGAAACCCAAAAACAAATTTTGATAAATTATGGTGAAAGTTTTGTAGTGTTACCTACAGAAGATCAGACTTTGAATTTAAGTCAATAAGCCTGAATTTTTCTTATCCTTCTTGCTGTTGGTGCTCTGTTAGCTCAGTTGGTATCGACTATCATGCTAGAGTAAAGAGTGGGTGGACCTAGTTTGGATCCCTGACTGGATATTCTTGAACACTGGTTGCTTTATGGAGTTTCCAAGGCTCTCAATCCATTTACAGTGGAAACCATATATAACAGTTTTAACAGGCCCGGTAGTAACAGGGATCCGGTATAAATCCCCGTTTCTTCCTACTCTTTGTCTCTATTAAAAGTTATTGGCAGTAACAGGACCTCACCGGAGCCCAGTCGGTTATAGCAGGGACAACGGCTCATTAACAATGTGTCAAACAAAATTTAAAGAGAGAGAGAGAGAGAGAGAGAGAGAGAGAAAGAGAGAGTAATGCAGTGATCAAGCAAACCCATGCAAGCCACGCCACTGCAAGCGCACGCAACAGGTGGAGCGGGAGAAGGCTGCGGTGTGCTGCAGATTTCGATCTAGTACCTGTACACGCACGAGTAATGTGTCATGCGCAAGCCTGCCACATGGCCAAAATCCCTGTTTTTGCGTATTTGTGCCAAGGGTAACTACCCATGAATAAACACAGCTGGATTAATCCACAAATGCTTACTTCCCTTGCATTTCTGATTTAACAGGGATCTGATATAACATGACTTTTTCTCTGGTCCTACCATCTCTGTTATATCAGGTTTCCACTGTAGCTCAGTCCTATTGGAGATGGACCTTAACTCCGGAAGTTCTTCCTTTTAAATAATCTAACAATAAGGGAGTTAACTCGTACACTTACTTTTTTGGGGATGCTTCTCCTCCCAGCCTGGTGACCTGGTAGGACCTGGGCTGAGACGAATGCAACATCCCAGCAGATGGATGAAATACTTATATCCTCCCCTCATAGGAATGGAACTCACGTCTTCTGTATGTGACGGCGAGGAACCAAACCTGTACATGGATAGATGCTGCTGTCTCATTGTGCATTATGCATAACATTTAAATTGGAGTCTGCTTAAACCAAAATCTGCAAGACCGCTGGATTTTTTTCTGTTTTGCATGATTTTCTTTGTAGAGGTCACTCAAACAGGAGAAAAGACAAATCTGGGATTTTTAATATTTATTATCTATATTTCTCTTTATTGATGTTTTCATATTAACTGTATTTGGCAAGTAGATTCCACTGTTTGTATATGGTCAGCGGTTGTCAAAACACAAGACTTCCGCTGGTGAAGAAATGTATGCCAATAAACCTAATAGTCCCAAGCTACAGGAATCTGTGAAGCCAACATATGGACTCGGCTTATAGTGAAGAGATGTTTGATTTGAAGAAAATGAACAAATTCAGTATGTGAATGAAATATTTCTCCTAGTTTGCACAATATTATATTGATTTATTATTGTGTACCATACAATACAGTGTATGGAAGGACAAGGATTGGATTTTTCAGCTTGGCTTTTTCTTTTCAGGTTTTACATTCCTGTTTGTCACAATGGTTCCTGTTCCTAGAGAGGTTAAGCTCACCTTCCATGGGTTTGGCCTGGTCACTTTCATCACGGGAATGATACAGTGCGTGTCCACATCCAAAGCCCAAGATTGTGTGAGTTGTGACAGACAAATTAGAGATTGGAGGATGTGCTGTGGAGGGGAGCACAATCCTATCTTTGGCCAACTGTCAAAATGTATCAAGCCTACAGTTTGGAACATTTTTTTACTGTAGTTACTTAACTCTTTATCTCCGAGGGGAGTAAACCCCTGGTACAAAATCTGAACATGACAAACACTTCACTAAACGGATCCTTAAATCAAAACAAGTGATTAGTGAATCTATTTTGATAGTTCTTCATCTAATGAATAAACTCCTGGTAAGAGAGACCTGTTTTGGGGGAATTTCCAAAAAATAATTTGATGTCGAAGTCATTGTAAAGGAATGTGCCCAAGCCGCTGCCAGCGGCTCATCGGCACAGTGATCCTGACCACGAGGCGCTAGGAGCTACTTGCCGGAAATAAGGAGTTAATCTGTTGTATCAGTTGCATGTGCCGAAGAAATATTTTGTCAAAATTCAAATTCCTAATGTTGAAAAAAGCAAGAACAGATACATTTATAACATAAAGGTACAGTTGTTTAAATAATGAAACAGTTTTTTCTCTCTCTCTAGAAAAATTTAGCGTTCTGGGCATAGTACATTTATTGCAGACGATACGGAGCATGCTTTGTGAAAACCTCTGGACTGGAGAAAAAACTAACATTTTTGATTATTTCATTTGGCTGCATTGGCCAGCCCAGGCTGTTGAAGTTCACGGAACAGCTGATTAGTTGTGATGAGCAAAGCTATGTTGTTGTTGTGTGTGTCACGTATATTGAACCTCTGGTCTCACTATAACAGATTCTTATGGGGTATATTTCTTGACCTTTGTTGTGACACTCATCTACTCCAAGTGCATATAATATATGGCTGAGCATGAATATGTTCATTTAACCTTATCAACATTATCAAGGCATGAGATGATTGCATCTCTTCCTCCCTGTGCACAGGTTCATGTAAACGCACGCTCCATTTAAACACACGCTTAACGCTTAGCTCTAGTGGCCTTCTGGAGCACCGTGCGTTTAGGCGGAGACTACTGGACTGGGATCTTAGGTCGAGATTTTTATAATGTGTATGTATACTCTAGTTATCTGTACCATGCAGTTTGTATTTTTGTTTCTAAAATAGGTTCCTTGTCTTATTCACTTTTGGGAATCCAGAAGCATTCTTCTATTTGTTATTATCTTTCTTCCCTTTGTCATTTTGTGTGTGTGTGTTGTAACATTCTGCAAAGATTTGAAATGTCCTGCTATCATTTCTCCCACTCTGAAAATTTCTCACTATTTTATTCTGACAATAAGAATATTTTAGAACTGTTTCTGTCAAACCTTTTGCCTCTCCCTTTAATTCTTTAGAATGTCTCTTTACTATGAAATTATTTTAAGCACAATAAGTGGGGGGGAAAAAACCTTTTTGCGGATGTCACTTTCAACAAATTTGTACTGAATTCAGGCATTTATTTGCATAAATACTTTTTTTTCTCAGGACTTCAGCACGCCTGAGCTCTATGACATTTCTTTGGCCTTGGCTGTGCTCTGTGGTGTGTCCATAGGTGAGTTTTGACTTTCTTCTTTAGCTAGAGTAGAAGTACTATGCAGCCACTTGTCACATATTTTTCTGTAAAAGACATTAATTAGCATATTGTAATGGAATTCTTTTTGGTTAATGGCATACTCTGGCTATTAAGTCAGGTAAAAACCAGTTTTTGATTGTCAGTTGACAGAGTTGAATTTCAGATCATCGTAAAGACACCATGTTAAGGAATCCTCATGATGCGACCAGGGGACCTCCATGTGGCGCACGAGTCTATTCATGCAGCCACATGGGAGATCTTCATACGATCAGGACTTTCATTTAACTCTTTTCAAGAAAACTTTGCTCCCTTTTGATTTTGAGGGCTGCTTGGTTGGTGCTAAGAGATAAAAGAAGCATCTGTGACTGGTGAATGCTTGTCTCTGAAGTACTGCAGCTTTCAGTCTGTTAACCCTATCGGTATATCATGTTTTACTATCATATCCATACGACGTGAGGAACTCTGTTCCACCACTTCCAAAGAGGAAATTTACTCATTAATCCGATCCGCACGCTTTGCATAGCAGTCTGTTAAAATGATTTTTTGAGAAATACTGAACGTTTCAAAGAGATCTTCGCACAAAGTATTCTAAAATGTGAAGAATACACCTCGGGTGTACAAAATGACCCCAGGGCGTACGGATACGGTTAAATATGCAGTGCTACTTTGAAATTATGGTATAGCTAGCAGTAGCGGAGGAAAGTATTTGCTGGAAATTATACCTTTAGAGTCGTTTTTTAGCTTTTCTTTAGTTTTAATATGAGTTTTACAGCATTTGCAACACAGTTTGAGTTAGATCATTTAAGTGCTGAAGATTAGAGATGTTACATTCAAAGAAAAGAAGGAGAGACAAGGATGATGGATGTTTGATAGGAGGAAAGGAGCAAACTACACCAAATCATCCGTCATCCGCCCACTTTAGAGCCTCTGGCTAATCCATATCCAATGAGAGGGAGATCACTCACAGACATACCGATACAAAGTTGCAGGGCTAGAGCACAATTCACAAACATATGGGTACACAGTTGCTGGACTAGAGCACAGTTCTCATACATACACAGTTGCTGGGCTAGAGTACAGTTCACATATATGGGTACACAGTTGCTGTTCTAGAGCACAGTTCACTGACATACACAGTTGCTGGACTAGAGCACAGTTCACATACATGATACACAGTTGCTGGGCTAGAGCACAGTTCACAGATATATGGGTAGGCTACACAGTTATTGGGCTAGAGCACAGTTCACGTACATTCACAGTTGCTGGACTAGAGCACAGTTCACGTACATTCACAGTTGCTGGACTAGAGCACAGTTTACAGATATGGGTACACAGTTTGCAACCTCATCGCTTTCTTGCTGTTTCGCCATTTTTTTAAGCAGTGAAAACAATTCTTAACAAAGAGTGAGCTTAAGAAGAAGTCACATTTCTAATGTTAAAAAAAAAAGGATATACGACAAGAAAGCACTGAGGTCCGAGTTGCTGGGCTAGAGTACAGTTCACGTACATACAGTTATTGGACTAGAGCACAGTTCACTGATGTACACAGTTGCTGGGCGAGAGCACTGTTATTTCCCCTTGTGTGTGTATTTGTGTTCTGTTTCCACAGACACTCTCACTCCAAAGTTTTCTGGAGATCTTAAGATTTCTCATGTCAGTTTTACAGGAGAAAAACCATATGTGTTACGACGCGGTGGATCAGGCACTCATCAATTTTTGAGCATGTGGAGTTATTGGCATCATCTGAAAGCTTATTCATTTTCCTTGCTTTCTATGAAAAAATAGAATAGAAGAAGTCAAGATATTTAAGATTGAAGGTGGTTGGGGTAGCTTGGTTTCAGAGGTAAAATTAGCAATAACATGGCCACCAAAGTTTGGTAACTTCTATAGCTTGGGAGTCCTTGAAAACTGAAAATTGACATATTTTGTGCCATTAAATCAATGTTTTTAAGTAAAATTCACATGGAAATGTTTAGTCAAACGATAAAAGTTGTCAAAACTAGAAGTAGAAAAATGCTTGTTTCTTCAATTTCCTTTTTTTTAACAAGCACCTGATTTCACCATGATGCCTCACATAATTTCATTCTTTTAGCAGTTGTACAGGACAGTAGGTATCTCTTCTTGTTTGTTTCAACATTTGGAATTTGAATTTCTACAAAATATTTCTTAATACCTCAAATTAAGAAACTGCAAGAACTTTCAAGAAAAAAGAATTCCAAATTTTGGGCCTGATAAGTGATAATATATATATCTGAACAGCAGACCAACTGTAACTTTGGTCATTGTGAGCTATGTACCAGTATTGTTTTTTGGTCATCCGATGTTTGACAATTTCTCCCCAGTGTATGTTGCGGTCCTTCTGCCCTTCTGGATCATAAACCAGGTGAAGCAGAATGCAGTTCTGGACAAAGGAGAGAGGAGAGGTGTCTGTTACGAACCAGTCAAGTGTTGCTCTTGTTTGTGGCACATCTAATTACCTCGACACTCGTCGACAGTTCCTCTTGATTTGTTCCACTTTGTTGAGATTATTATTGATCATGTGATATCACAGATCAGGTTGGATGTATTTTATCTGAGAAGGCTGTGCATACAGAATAACCTAGCTGATAACTTATTCTCATCAACATGGCACAAAGATGTAACACGCTGGGAAACATTCAAGTCTTCATATGTCTTCTTTTTTACATTTTTACAAGTATTACAAGTGTGATTTTCAGTCCGACAAAGGTCTTTGATTGTGATGATTCAAGACATACGCATTTATAAACATGTATCATAATCAAATTAAAAATTTATGTCTTTGTGGAAATTAAAGCATTTCTGTGATTAGAATTAAAGCGCTTATTTTTAATCCTATTTTTATCCTGTGTGATATATGAATGTTTGATTTAAGGCTGACACACTCTGAGCGTGTTTGCAATGTTCTTGCAAGACTGTACCAGTATGTTGAGTTTCACAAATTTACGCAGTGAATTTCCCTGTCCAGGTCCTAGCCTTGAAAAGGACCTCTCTTTATGTTCACAAATATCAAAACTAAGGTCAAGCATGACACTGATCATCGGAATAAAGAATTCAAATTTTTCTCTGAGTTCACAATGGGTCTTGAGGTGGATTTATAGAACAAGCCCTTAGTCATGCAAGTTATTCCAGTTACAGAGAACAAAGCTATGTTACAGTAGTCTCCACCTAAACACCTGCTATACAAAAGCACGCTCAGCTCAAACGCATGCTTTCGTCTTATGAGGGGGGGGTTCTTATAATTTAGACGTACAAACGCACGGTCACTTCTAAACGCACGCTTCAATCCGCGAAACACGCCAACAAGTAAAGCTTGACGAAGGGAAATAGTTCGATTGACAAAACGAAACTAAACTGTGAGTTGTTTAGATCCACTGTAACGCTAGTCTTCACGGCCGATCACAAAATTCTACAAGGCGTATCGTGGCCAATTCGCCCTGCTGTGAGTGCGTTCACTAAACTGCCTAGGAACAATGTACCATTTTATTTATGGTTACATTGTGCTTTTCAGATTACTAAAGTTAAATCTATAATATAATACAGTCCAGTACGCGCTTAACTTACCTATATAGTAGAACATAGCTATAGTTCCAGAAGAAAAATCCCGCTGTAGGGGAGTTCCCGCCCTAGGAATGCAAAGGGGAAATTACAGAAAAATGTCTTTAAAATCCACATGATTACCTCCCTTCCATATCAATAAAATTTTCACTTTAGATTAATCTTCCTTTTCTTGTCAACTTCGTTGATTATCTCTGCCTTTAATTAATTCGAGTGAGAAGCATTTAGGAGTCTTTGTTGGAAGCCATCTTTTCCTCGGTCTCGTTGCTTGTGCTGTCTATTGTACCATTAGGCCTAGGCCTACTGTAGAACTGGTGAAGTGGATGCGTGTGTATGCTTATGATGAGCATCAACGATCGCAATTCAGTGAATCAGGAATCACACACAACATGCTCTCTTCTTCTTTTACTTTTTGGCCTTACCTAGGCCTATACACTCTCATACTGAGCGTCTAAGCTATGGCACATCACTTTTGGAGTGGCTCACGTAACGCGTCTCTCCGCACCATCTCTCTCTGCCGCCTACCCCACCTCACTCATCACTGAACTGACCAATCACGATGCCGCACAGTTGACTGCTTGTTTGGAGCCCGCGTACAGCCCCCCCAACCCCCTTCCCCACAGCTAGAGCTCGCGTGATCTCTCCCACTGTATCCGAGTTCGGGCCTTTCCTTGCCCCGTTAAACCCGAGCACATGTAAATGAGTTTGCATAGAAAGTAAAAAGGGGATTCCAGTAAGGTCCCGCTGTAGCAGGTGCCGCTATAGTCATGGTCTACTGTAGATAAGAGAAGTGTAACTCTGACAGGGAATATTTTGTGTGTGTGTGTGGAGGTAGGCCTACTGTCTTTATTCTTATTTTGCCTTGCTATTAGAGTTTAAAACCTCCTTCAAGTGTCAGATCTGAATCTGCATGTTGTAGTGAAACAGATGCAGCCAATCATGGTGAGCCATTTACTTCTCTGCTTGAGTACTCTCACAAATGCTGTATTATTACTATTATTATCCTGGTCTTTTCTTGGTAATAAATCAAGAAAATAAATTGTATACAATTGTGTGCACATGCATAAAAAGGACCTTTTCACCTTCTAGGTGTGTCACAAAAACTTGGCAGCTTTGTAGATGCTACACATGTAAATATTCATTTATGGAGAATTAAAAAATCGCTAACCCTGAACGATGACAATTTGCTTTTTTACTTACAAATTACTTTCACCCCTTCATTTTACCACTGCGACAACTACAGTCTAACTCAAACTCTGTTTCAGTTTCACCTCACCTATGCACGAAAAGGAACGTTTGTCTCGTGTTAAACATACTATTTGCCCCTATTAAACTGCCAACTGTTTGAGTTGTACGGTCTTTACTTTACTAATAACTAATGTAACTTCGCCCTGAAACACCACTGGAGATGCACATCACTGCTGCATATGGGGCAAAGTTGCCACAAAACACCCTTTCGGCAGCTGCTCTGTTCAGTGATAATATCTCCCTTCCCACCCAGAACAACTACTCTTTTTTACTTATCATTTTCTCAACAATGTATGTGGTTTTTAAGCCCCTTCCAACTCTGCCTGTCAGGGCCGATACCCAGGCTGAGAAGGGTACAACATGCCAGCAGAAAGACCAGGATACTCAATAAAAATTTCTCCCCACTCGGGAAGTGAAGACTACTGGTCTCCTGTACTCCTGTACTGTATCATGCGACAGTGAAGTGCCTAAGCGCTACACCACACACAACTGTGCGAGCGAACTGTGGTCTCTAGCATGCAGACAGGCTGAAAGCGATCGAAAACTCATGTTTTGTTCGGACAAATGAAAGTAACTCATTTTGTTGTTGTTTTTCTTTTCATGGCAGAATCATTTCCCTTCTTGACGTTAGGCAGAAGTGGTGAGCAGAGAACAGCACTAAGCTAAACTAAAGGGATACCAAAATCAAGTTGAATGAAGAAAACCAAGTGGAAAGAATTTTTATTGAGTGTCTCAGTATTCTGGAGATTAGAGTTAGAGGGGTTACAACTAGAGAGTAACACAAAGACAAGAAGTTTGAAGGAGGAGAGATAAGCACAACAGATGTGAAAAAGAAAATGTTTATGTGTTGTATTTACACCTCCATCGACACAATTTAGATAATTTCTATTAGTGGAGATCAGCTTGTGGTGACCTTGCCTATCAGGGCCAACCTAGGCTGAGAACGGAGAGGGACACAACTTCCCTGCAGAAGGACCGAGATAAGTATCTCAATAAAAAAAATTTCTCCCCTCTAGGCTAGGGAACCGAACTCAGGTCTCCTGTGACAGCGCAGAGAAGCTTCTTCTACTGCTACACCAGAACACCCAAAAACCACCCACATACATGGGGCTATCCTGGTCAAGAATTCTGCAGCAAAAAAAAATCATCAATCTCAATATCTGTGCCTTTCAAAAATGTAAATACCCACAGATGAAGGATGATCCTTATATTATACAGTGGAAATCGAATATAACAGGGATGGTGGCACCAGAGAAAAAGTCCTGTTAAATCCGATCCCCGTTAAATCAGAAATGCAAGAGAAGTAAGCATTTCTAGACTAATCCAGCTGTATTTATTCATGGGTAGTTTCCCTTGTCAGTGTCACCAGAGACCATAAAATATTAAATACTCTCTGGTGTCACAAGTACCCATGAACATGGGGTTTTGGCAATGTGGAAGGCCTGCGCATGACACATTACGCGTGCGTGTAGCTAGGCTTAGGGCTAGATCGAAGTCTGCAGCACACCGCAGCCCTCTCTCGC